ACAAAATTTTAATAAATTTATAACTAGCGCCATCTATGGGGAATTATTATGCAGAGTAGTGGAGTTATATACATTGCCATAAGTCCAGAAATGTTTGATGTCAACATCAAACACCGCGAATTTCAGTAATTAATATCGCCAAACTCAACTCTCTCAACGCGTGCTTATCACCGGCCGCCATCTTCGAGTCCTCCACCCCGATCTACGAGTGCATTTAATTTGCATGAAACCATCGGTGCGTCAAATCTCGCCGCTGACTTGCTCACGAGGGTGGACGGCGCAACAAAAAGTCAAACATCAAATATTTGCGGTGCACTCGGCATGCAGGTCGTTATATTTAATAGAATAAATGTGTAATGTTGGTTGCAGGCGTATTAGGCCATGCGTAGTGTGTTTGTTTTTGTTGCTACGACTGGTAGTTTGCTTTGAATACGAACAATTCGCATTTGTGAAGTTTATGAAGTAATAAACTTTTTTGTTGAAAAAAAAGAGTTTTGAAGTATAGTGGCACTCAACTAAATATAACTCAAAGGTACGGAATTTTATTATGTTATAACGAGGTGTTGTTATATCAGGAAACACAAAAATACCAAAATACTGAGAATTCTATAATGGATTGGTATGTGTTTAATTTTTGTAAGTTGGTTATAAAACTCAATTACCTTGTAAAAATGCCGGTAAATATTTCCTGAAGTCTAAATATGAATTCCGCGTCGCTCAGTTGTATTCACTTTGTGTTGTGTTTGCAAATGATTTTCTAGTAACGCAACGTGCAATCTCCAACAAATTAGCTGAAAATCGCTTAAGTTATAGAAATTTGTACTTGCAATCTAGATGTTTAGATCATAATTACAACAATATTTCAAATGTTACCATCGATGTCATGTCTTTTAAAAATATTCTAGCTCATAATTTCTTGAAATGAATATATTTCGTCGTTACACACAGAGAAAACTGTTACTATAACGAGGAAATTAATATACACCAAACTTCAAAGTTCTTCAAATTTCTGTCATTATAAAATAGTAAAATACTTGAATATAGTTTTTTGCATAAAACAGTTAAAATTAAAATTAAATTATATTCTTGTCCACCGAGTGACATTTGTCTTTCTAGTTGTTCCGCAAAAGCTGCTGAAGAACCCAAAGGGTCGATCCATCATCCCGCGTGCTTTTACGGTCATTTTTTATCCTCTTAAGAGATCAAAAACTCATGACTGGAGTCTCGTGTTCATTTTTATTTTCTTTACCTAATTCCCTCGAGCGGAAGCGGAAACTTTTAAAAATGCTACTTATCATTTATTTATTTTTTATTTTTATTTCAAAATAAATTACCCCAACTTTAATAGTCCGCCATATTTATTTACTTCAAAGTAATGCATTCTGCCGTCGAGTATCTGAAATCCCGAAAGTTAACAGTTATTTATTATATCAGCGATGCAAATCCCCAGTGGCGCGCGCACAAAAAACGACTCACAACTTTCACACAAATACAATACACACATATTATATATGTATAGATGCGTATAAAAAGCGTGTTTAAATGCACAATGAAAAGTTTATATAATCCGATTTGATTAATTACGTTCGCGGTTGCGGCGACGCGCGTCGCCCCTTTTGCGCTTTCCCCGTGCGCCACGCGGGGAAAAGCGATTCGTACGAATTAAAGCGATACTGCCGAACGCGCAGCGAATATAAAATCGTCCCTCTTGCGTCGTTTAGCGGTTGAGAGGGTTGCTCTCGAGCAGGCAAAATCCGGGCAAAAGGGACGAATACGTGCGGATAAAGTTGCCGACACTCGACGTTGAATCACGTTTAATTCGCTTAAAATACGGAGAAAAATGCGAGAAAATCATCTGAAAGACAATAAATAATATCAAATGTTAATTGTGCAGACTATCATTGATATTGATTTATTTTGGTAAAAGGGAGGGGTATGAATGTATAAATATTAAACTAAACACAATAATCCTTCGTAGAATAAGCATAAATCTTTGATAACGCCGCTAATTCCTACAATTTTGTTTTATTGCTTCATGCGTAAGAGAATATTAATGAATGTAATTTAAGTGTATTCTATGGGAAAAGACTAAATTCGGTTATTTTGATAAGTTTATACATTAGGTTATGTTGTGGTGGTAGCGTAACCAAAACATACACAACTAGTAATAGAATAATCATTTTACTTAGATCTATGTCTATTTTTTGAGATTATGTTGTGTTACAAAACCAAACATACATATATCAATAAAATAATTATTTTAGATAGGTTTACGTTGATTTCTTTGAAGTTATGTTGTGGTAGGTAACCAAACATACATAAATAGCTATGGAGTAATCATTTTACTTAGATTTACGTTGATTTTGAGGTTATGTTGTGTTATCATTGGAGAAAAATCAAATACTTGTATTTTAGTTGTTTTATGTTTGATTTTTATTATTTATTATTCTCGTCACGTTTTCAGTAAACTTGGTTTTGCTCGCGTTGTTTTTCCAGTCTACACTATGCGTTTTGCGTTATTTAAGGACACTGGCGACGATGGTAAACGTCGGCGGCGAACACCGCAAATCGGATATAACGCGGTTTTGATAATGCGGGTGACGTGCCAACCGCCCCGGCCTGGTGGTGGTGGCTTATCATCAAATTGCAAACGCGGCCAGCGAGCGACAAAAAGCACAAAAACAGCAAAGCACACTGAGAGTTTGTGGCCGGTGTAATGGTGCTAGTGGTGGTGGTCGTGGTTGTGGTCTGTCAAAAACGAAGAAAACGTTGATGGTTTCTTTGTTTTGCTTTGCGCCGCGCGTTGTAATGTAACAAGCCGCGTGAGTCTGGCGTGGAAAAGCTGGAAATATTATGCGAGCGCAATACGTCCCCGTACTCGTACATTCGGTGTTTTAGCGGCGTGCACAAAGCTGTGTATGAAGGCTACGAGAAACGCGCCGGAATCTTCTTTTGCGTTTCATCCCCTTTATATTCTTTATTATTCGTTGGTTTAATGTGTGTGTGCAGGCGCGCTTGTGCGGCTGGCGTATTGTGTATTTTAGGGCATTAGAAGGAATTTGCGATGGTATATTCTGCGCTACGAGTATTTTTGTGAAGGAAGGACTTAAATTTAAACAGTCTTATATTTTTTTGGCACAGAGTATGCGCATGAAATTTACTTTTTCGGTAAATATTTTGTTGATTTTGAAATCACACTGTATATTTAATCAATTTTTAAGTTATAAAAATTTGCATTGCAATTTGTAGGGATGTTGGGATCATAATTACAACAATATTTCAAATGTTACCATTGATGTTATGTCTTCAAAAATATTCTAGATCATAATTTGCTAGAAATGAAAATATTTTCGTCGTCACACAGAGGAAATTAATATTAACCACCAAATTGAACAATTTTGTCGTTATAGAGAGGCTACACTGTAAATAATAAATAAATAGCGAGTATTTAATATTTACCATTCGGATTGAAGGCTTCTGTAGGTGATTCCGCCATCTTGAAACTAATTTTGAAGTAGTTTGAAAGTCAACACTTAATGCTAGATGTCAAATGGTTGTTTTGCTTTCACTGCGTGCATTTACTAACAGTGTGATAATGATAACAGCACTCTTATCGCCTGTAAACACAATTTTTGTTTGCGGTGTGACTGATCACGTCGCCAGTTACAACTCGACTGATTTGAGTCGTGCTAAACTTACGCTGCCGCTAAATATAACCTTCAAATTTAGCACAGAGCCGGCTTTAATTATTTTAAATCTCAAAATTAATTATTTTCTTCTGAATAGTGAAATTGTTTGTATTGTTCTAATGAAATGACTGCCGAACGCTTAATGGCAATTAAGTTCTTTGTCTCTAGCGGCGCGCTTAATTAACCAGCGCCCTAAAAGTCAATAAATAGTTTTTTTCTATTGCCCGTTCATCGTTTAACTCTTGATTAGCGCTAATAACCCAATACGACGCCGCACTATCGTCGGTTTAGTGCATTTAATAACGACACCGTTGCGAATTGTGCATTGTGTATGTCTGGTTGAGTCGATTTTCAAATTTCAATTAAGTAATCATGGCGTGTCGAAAGCACGCATTCATACAAATTGGATTGAATGTCTGTTCAGCGAATCTCATTACTTAAGTGATTAACAGGTTTAAATATAGAATTTCACGCACCATTTTACGATTCACGAATTTTTACAATGTACAACAACGCCATCTGCTTTCCAATAGCTCTAAATGAAAAAGGAAAGTTTCATTTTTGTTGAATTACGTTAACGTGAATTTCGATTAAGTATATTAAGTATAAGAGGGTACTTGTGTGACCTTCGCAGCCCTTCGACCCTTTTGACAGCGTTTTATCCTTTCGGAATTTAATAACGTCAGTATGTGAACACATAAAAAACGTACGAGTACATCAACGAATTGATTCGTCGCGGCATGATCGAGATTACAAGCTTGTATTCATGTACAAAGGAATGGCTGTCAGCGTTGGACTTTGTGATTACAATAGGAAAAAAAAATTATTCAATTTTGTTGAATGCATCGCATGCAGGATTAAAATTGACACTATGCAACCAACTATACACGTATACTATGGCATTGTGCGGGGTTTATTATGTGAATGTGACAGATGAAAATTTAGTTGAATGTAACACACAAAGGAATAAAACTTGACATTAGGCAACCAACTATACACAAATATAATGGTTTTATTTTGCATTTATTATTATAAATACTCTGCAAGACGTTACAAATATTTATAGACGAAAAATATTTGATATTATTGAATGCAACACAAGTAGCACTAATATTAACACTATGCAACCCACAGAACACCTGAACACTTAAGCTGTATTCAGTTTTATTTCCGTCCATCACTTCACTTCTTTCTATTTCTATTCACGTGTTTTTCGGAATCGTTTTGTACTCTGGTTCGACGCTTTCTTGAGCACTTTGGGTTCTATTCACCGCCGGCGGCGCAGACCGCACTCGCGGTGGCGGAGGCGGCAGTTTTGCGCCGGTGCTCATGGGAGCAACACGCGGGCAGTGCGAAGCGCTCGAATCCGCGCGAGGAGTTCACAAACACCTTCATGTTTAATAATGTGGTGGAGTTCTTGCATTCGATGAAAGAAGGGTTGCATAATGCGACGCAGGAAGCGTAAGAAAAGAAAATATTTTTATTTTTTAAATAAAACATTTTAACTTTTAAAAAAGAAGTAATAGTTGTTGAAGGGTAGTAAAATAAAGCTGCGTTCGATATAATCTCTTCTTTGACATAAGCTTTTATGTTCGACATTGTAGCTTTTTTATTCTTTGTTCGGGGAACGATTTAGTACACATTAAATATTCCATCAATTTATACGGACATTTGAGACTGATAAACTCAATTTCCCGATAAAAATTTATTTCGATTTGGTAAATTATAAATTATGTTAGGCAACCAAATACACACTTCAAACTAATAGGCAACCCAAGTTACTAATGTAAATATCTATACACTAAAATCAACTCAGACAGAACTTAGAATTGCAAATGTCATATTTGAATAGGTAATTAATATTTGATTCACAAAATTATTTCTGCAACGCAGTGTTAATAAGATATAGTCATGTATTTGTGGTTGTGAGGTCACAACGACAGAAAGGCAAAGTCTGAATCTGACACTAAGATAAATGTGCGCTAATCGCACCACAATGCATGCAATCAGAAGCGTACAATTCAAAGTTAATTTCCAACTTGAATACGAAAGTATCTAGGCAACCAACACTACAATCAAACACTGACATGTATTGTTGGTTGCTTAATATTTTTATCCTCTGAGGAGAGTCTTAACCGAGGTATTTTCCGTGACCTTCATCTTGAAATTCCCGCACGTTCAGCAATTTCATCATCTTTCATCGCGGCGGAATGTCGTCTGAATAATGAATACAGAATTATACGCGTGAAGGCAAACCGGAATGGAATCGAAATAAAAACTTAGAATACCAAATTACACACCTTCGCGCGAATATGACATCTGACGTTCGTAAATATTTTCATATTATTTGCACTTGGAATTTGATGAAATTGCACTCTCGGCTTGTGCGAGAGAGGAAAAATCGTAAAAGCTGAATAACGCAGTGAATGGATGTGCGGGCGCCATCTTGATTGATTGGTGTTCCCTGAAGGGACATTAATTCCGTTTTTCGACTCTTCCACTTTCCGGCTTCCGTTGGCCACTTTTAGAAATCGAAAAATCGTGGAATAAAAATAACTTTCGGGGCTAATGCGGGTTTAAAAGTTGTTTGGAACTAGGGGTGTGAATTTTGAGTTTTATACCGGTATACCGGTACTACCGGTATTTGGAAAATTAGTTAGAAGAGTTAAATTTAATAAAAAAATTAATTTTGTGAAAGAAAATCCATAAAAACATGCGTTTTTTATGTTAAATTATTGATAAATTTAATAAAAATCAATAACGAATTAAATTTAAATTAATAATGAGAATTTTAATTATTTGTTATGCTGTCACCACTACCCGTAATCATTATAAACAATGCAAAATGCAAGTCTTGCTGTATCTCATTTTTGGTATAAGTTTCAAATTAAATTTATTGTCATTGTGAAGCCTTCCTAACCTTACTTAAGTACAAAGTACCTACTCATTCTTGTCTGATATTGAATTGTTGTTAAATTTCGTTTCCGCACGGTGTATTTCTTTGGTATCATTTTGGTAGATAGATAGATAGATATAAATCTTGTTTTCCTTCTGTTTCAGTCTTTGTAACAACTAAAACCAAATTCAAACGTAAAACAAAGATAACCTTAAATAAAACTAAGTTTTGAGGTTAAATCACGTATGCATTGATTTCATTCGCAGATTTTTGACGTAGATTCACGGTTATATGAAAAATTTTCACAAATAATTGATAAATAACTAATAATTTTGCTCTTCTTTCAAAAGTTAGTAACTTACAGAAAAATACCGGTATTATAACCGGTAATACCGGTATTTAAGATATTAATGTAAAAAATAATGGTATTTTACACTCTTATTCTCCTAAACTAATTTTATTTCGATTATTGCATATTATTAGTTTTTATTTCCTTGTTCCAGTTTACAAAAGCATGTAAAAAACGCCTCCGACGCTGAATATCCGGCGTACGGAGTGACAGGACCCAATAAGGAGGTTTCACCATCCGGGGATCGTCGCCTGGCCCAATCGGCGCAAATGTACCACTACCAGCATCAGAAACAACAAATCATCGCAATGGAAAGGTAAATACATCTATATAATTTTTATTTTTTCCGTTTGTTCAATTTGTGCTATGCAACCAATATTACAATTTGCATACTCTATAAATATTGGTGGCCTAGCGTGTTTTTATCGATTATATTACGGCATTGCGCAGTGTTTATTATTATAAATGCGTTGTTTAAACACGAGAGGGTTTTCAGTCCGAGTCCTGCCTGAACGGCTCCGTTGGGGCTTAGCGCACCTTTCGCACACCCTTCACCAGCCACTTTCCATTCATCCTTCTACCTTATACCTTATAATGACGTAAACCCTCATAACAAACGATCTGCCATTATCGTTTATTCAGCATCTCATTTATTCAGTTTAAAGTTAATCATAATAATTCCCTGCTTGGATTATGGACCACTCGCGGCCATATTTAATATTTTTACTTTGCTTTACTTTGAGTGTATGGCATTTATTTTCGCTGTCATTAACGGCGATCTCTGGAGACACTCGGTGACGTGCTGCTTTTGTTTGCCTTCCGCTTTGTTTGCGTTTGTGGTTTAACTGCTGATTTTATTTTCTCGGAAAAACTTTGTTCTCCTCAAATTGAATGAAAAAAGGAAATCAAGTTAGGAAAGAAATAAAATTACATAGTTATGCAACCAAATTAACTTAGGAAAGACGCGTGGGTTGCGTGTGCGTTAATTAAAAATAATGCGAGTTGTTAATTAAGTGTCGTTTTTCTTGATTGTCTGCAGGGCAGCGGCGACTGAAAGGCACGGGTCCATTTCGGAGGCGGACAGTGATGAAGAGAACGAAGAGGGTGATTACACCGTGTACGAATGCCCTGGACTAGCGCCGGTGAGACAAGAAAATCTATTTATAACCTCACCTGTCAAAGTTTTAAAAATCATACCTACTTATCGCATGATTTACGACTGAGAAGAATTTGTTTTTATATCTAATCTTCTTAATTTTTTGTGTTGGTTTTTAGACTGGCGAAATGGAAGTGAAGAATCCAATGTTCCAGGACGATCCGACTCCGGCGCAGACGCCGCAGCAGAAGCAGTCGGATGGCTCCGGGGCAAAGAAGTGAAGTGTGCGGCGTGCATGAGAATCCACCACCCCCACCGCATCCATTGCCGCCACCACCGCAACCACCGTCGCTTTGCTAATGATGCTGTGCACGCTCACCGTCATCCACCTGCGGTTGCTTGCAAGCGTCGCTGTCGTCGTACTGCTCCACCTAACCTCACACCACACTTGACACATACAAGAGACAGCCACATATCATAGCGGAATTTACTTGCGTGCACAGCTCAACAGAATCACACACTCACGTAACAAATGAAAACCAACAATGAGCTTTTGATGTATCTACATACCTACTTAGCTACTTTCAGACATTTTCGGAGTTTATTTGTGTCTCTTCACTAGTTGTGTAAATGTAGCCTTACATGATGGCGGACAAGTTGACCAATCATAGGTTTTGGGTAAATTACGAACATGCACGATGAAAGTTCCGATTGTAAGCGACACGTCCATTAGAAAATCAAAGAGAAAAGAAAAACAAGAAATGAACACATAACCATACTTAATCTAAACAAATATTTAGACGGAGAGTTACGTATGATACAATTAACGTAAATAGAACAATCTGTTTGATTATGTAAAACGATTATTTTAATGTTAATTGGGTTTGTGTTGGTTTTGTTTTTTGAAGGGCGAATTTAATTTGCAATGACATTCGCAGATTTTATCATGAAATCATTGAAATGTTAATGAAAGACGTTTGATTTGCGTTTGTTTGTCAAGTTTCTCGCGATGCATCAACATCGTTATCATTAATGATAGAAAAATAGTTAACTATAACAAATGAAAGCTAGCTGTCAGAGAATTACGCGCACAAATAATGTCGTAACGCAACGAATGAGAATCATGAGGAATGAAAATTGTTTTGCATGTTGATCATTCGCTGTTCGTTGCGCAATAAATAGCTGTAAGTTACTGACTTTTGAGAGATGAGCGAAATTATTTATTATTTATTCATTATTTGTGAAAATGATTCATATAACCGTGAAGTTACCTCAAAAATCTGCGAATGAAATCAATGCAAACGTGATTTAACCTCAAAACTTAGTTTTATTTTAAGGTTATCTTTGTTTTACGTTAGAATTTGGTTTTGCTTGTTACAAAGACTGAAACAGTAGGAAAACAAGATTTATATCTATCTATCTATCTACCAAAATGATACCAAAGAAATACACCGTGCGGAAACGAAATTTAACAACAATTCAATATCAGACAAGAATGAGTAGGTACTTTGTACTTAAGTAAGGTTAGGAAGGCTTCACAATGACTAAATTTATGTATGAAACTTATACCAAAAATGAGATACAGCAAGACTTGCATTTTGCATTGTTTATAATGATTACGGGTAGTGACAGCATAACAAATAATTAAAATTTAGCATATTTAGTCGAACATCAAGTATAAAACTTGCTATGAACTCATTATTAATTTAAATTTAATTTATTATTGATTTTTATTGAAATTAACGATAATTTAACCTAAAAAAGCTTGTTTTTAAGGTTTTTCTGATGCAAAATTATTATTTTATGTGTAATTTTGTTGTGGTGAGTTCAAAGACAAGTTCTTTAGTTGATTTCATCGTAAATATCTCGAAATATTGCAAGAAATATATCAAAACATGCAAAACAAGCAACAAATTACCCGCACCTAATGCATAATCTAAGAACTAACCAAATAAGTAACCAAATAACACACTTACAACCTAACAGAAAACTAATAACAGTAATAACGTACGTAACCTAACATCATCAACACGCTTGAGTAGATTTTGAGGTTAGTAGTTAGTCGCTAGTCGATGGCGCGGCAGAATTAGTTGTAGCTGCAGATGCGATATCTTCCAACATTCCAACAATCCTGTTATCTATTATTATGATTATCGATCGAACTGTCACACTATCGAAACGAACGGTTTCATCGAATTGTTTGCTTTAACTCGCTTCTAGCATTATTTTCAGCTCAAAACAAAAATCTCTGTATTTTTAACTCTAATGATGAATCTTCTTCCACCCAGTAATTTATACTTAAGCTTATTCTAATGACTTTAGTAAATATTAAACATTTAGTGATTGTTACTGAAGTGAATTTGATTACTGAATTAAGTTTGATTAAATCAATTAACATGTGTTACGATTGCGATTGAGTTGAAACATTTGAAAGAAGAAACAAATCTATTTATATATTTCTACTATACATACATTATAAATAAATAAAAAATATATAAATATATATTATATATAAAATATTATATTATACGATGAAAACCAAAACTAATGAAATGAGATTAACTGTAATTACTAAACAATTGTGTATAGAATAATTACCAAAATGGCGAAAATACATAAATGTTGAATGATGAATATTATAGCGAACAAAGAATACCAAAATTTCTGTTGTTTTACACTCATTTTGTTTAAATTCGATTCAATTCAACGTCCAGACTGTGTACACAGAGAATGTAGTGTAAATTAATCTATAATATACAAAATATAATAAATGTACATAAACTAAGCTTTGTTTTCAACGTCGCTGCCATTATTTATTTATTTTAAACATAATATTGTTTCATTTTAGTTTATTTTATGATAGGCAACCAAATATACAGCAAAACTTTGTACATATTCGTTGATATTCGTTTAGTGTCGGTTAAGGGTGCGCAGTTTACGTATGAGTAAAATAAATTAAATGTGCACTTAAACTGCAATTAAACATAACAAAATAATGATTTTTCTATTAATATTTAGACTGTGATTAGCTCTCGATGAGAATTATTAAGTATTTCCAAACATAATATTGTTTTATTTTAGTTTCATAACTCTAGGCAACCACATATACACCAAAAATTTGAACACATTCGCAGTTATTCGCCTGCTGTCGGTTTGTATGGAGCGGTTTACGCATGCGTGGAATAAATGGATCGCGCACCTGGACCGCGATCATTTGTTATTCTCTATCCATGGCAGGCGGTTGTCGCGTCCGTTGCGTTGTATAAATAAACGCGAAGCCAAAATAAGGCAAACGCGTTACACATAAATGAAATTATCGTGGTAATAACACCAGTGTACAGTGGGACAATAGTCGCTTGTTTGGATTATCGAGCACGGACGTTGCAGATCATCGAAACGGGCGTTGAACGACAATGCTCGGCCGCAATTCGTTGGATTGGTTGAATTCCTGTTGATATTGACGGGTAAGTCAACATTTAACGAACGTAAATTAGATTAAATTGTCATTGATTCAGGTTGTGACACAACCTCAAAGCATTAGACCAGTATTTTTATGCTTTGAGCTCGTTGCAAGTAAAATATTTAGGTTATTATGTTATTAGTGAGATGAAAATGTTTGGAAATGGTGAAAATGTTCGCAATTGCAATTAACGGTTGTGACGGCTGCGAGTAGAGAGTTGAGAGTCAATGCATTATTCAATTTCAAAGGTCGCGCTTGAAAAGTCTAATTTTATCAGCGGCTCTGCGCCTGGCACCGATTTGTTTGTTTCTTTATGGCGTCTCGAGTTATTTTTTGTGTTTCTTTTTATTTGCTTCAAGTAACGTACGTACCAAAATACCGAATGCCAAGTTTAAACGGAAACGACGCTGCAAACGCCGTTAATTTATAAATAAAACTACACTAGTTTTATTATTTTTGAAGTGTGTAATCAAAAACTTCATAAAATAACAACTTTTACTCGGAAATTTAGTTTAGTTTTCTTTTTAATGAATATTTTCTGTAAATTTTGATTAAAAATGAAAAGTTTCTTTTGTAAATTGAAGTAAGTTTAGCTTTCAATTGGATTAATCCGAAAACTTTTACTTTGATTGAGTTTAAATTTATGGAACTTAATAAAGAAAGTGTATTACTTGGGTTTGGGCCAAAATATTTCGGATTTGGATCAGAACTTTTAAATGTATTAAGAAGAATTTTTGAAGAAAATTGTCTTTGCGAGAGAAATTATTAATAATCCGGTATTTTCATTCAAAAAATACCAGTATACCGATATTAAAACCGGTATTTTGCACCACTTTTGCTATTTTGAGCAAAATTTCCAATAAAAAAATATAATTTCATAGCTATTTTTGATGATTTCCTGAGAATTGATCTTCAAAAAATCATTTTGTTATTAAAATGCACTAAATTAATCTTTAATCAAATGGAATGATTCTGTTGATATTAGTTTTGCACAAGCGTGTAAATGTAAACGATGATTTTATTGATAAGCACGTAACACTTGTCGCTGATCGACACGAAGCGTCCATGTTTCGCAAACTCAAACTTATGATGGAAATTTACATTCGCTGTGTAAATATTATACACTTTTCCACGATTCCACCGTGTTTACATATTATATCACGACTCTGCACTGCTTGTGCTGCACTTTTACGTCTCTGTATGCTTAAATATTTAATTTCCAGTGATTAGCCGCGTTCGCTTGTATAAAGAAAGAAAAAACATGTTAAACATTAATTAATGCGATAATGCCGCAAAGTGTGTGCTAATATTGACGCATGTGCTCTCGTTATAAAAAGTGTAAACAGTTTAATTAACAATGCCGGGCATTCTTGTCATTTATTTGTTGGTTTTTCTCATTCAATACACTTTATTTTATGATAAATATTGTAATTCCATGCATGCGACGCGTTAAATAATGGAAATACAAGTTTTACATAAAAATTTATCGATAATAATATATTTTTATTGTTTGACTGGGATCACTTTTATTTATTTAAATCATATTTATAATAATAATTGGGATTTCTGTGAAGGTTTAGTCGAAATTTTGAATGTGACGGTTAAAAGTGATTACATTTTATCGAAATATTATCAGCCGCGTGTATTTATGATTGGATAATGATAAGTTTTGATTCTAAACTGATAGTGATAAATATTTAATGTAAGATTTATGTTTCGAACACCTGACAGCGAGTGAATAACCGAAAATAAGTATTCGAGAATCGGCTATTGTTTGACAGGTACTCGTATTGTTTGGTTTCGTTGGGGATTTGTTGTTTGGCTCTTTTGTTGGCGAGATAATACGCCAGCATTTCCGCTCGACGAGAGGCAAAGGTGACGTTCATCGCCGATTTTCTACTTTGCTAAACAAAACCGAGCACGTTGCTTGCAGAGTGCTTTAGTGCTTTTTGTGACTGACAATTGTGCCGATGAGAGGGCACAAAGGTAAAGGTTGTGGGTGTCTTTTGAGTGGAGATTGCAGGTTTTTAGTTGGACAAAAAGTTCAAAGCGAGTTGGTTTTCAAAGCTTTATTTGTGAATAATTTAAGAAGTATTTGGATTAGAGGTATGATTCTTTCGGAGATTGCTTTTTAATTAAATTATATGTCTAATTTTGAAAGCGGTTTGTTGATTAATTTATTAAGAAAAAAGTTATTAACATTTAAAGTTGATTTTTCACTAAATTTGGTAAAAGTTTGCAGAAATTTGCCTGTAATTTACGGTTAAAAGTAGTTTTCAATAGTTTTTGGACTTAATTTGATAAGGAATTTAATAAAGAATAGATTTGTGAAGAAATCATCATGCTAACTTAATTAGTTTTCGAATAATTAATGATAAACTTAAAAATTTAAAAGAAAAACAAAAAAAATTCAAAAATTCGTATGTAATTGCTACAAAAATATATTTTTTTATATTTTTGAAGCTTAATTAGATCCACAATTTAATTAGGAATAGATTAGTGAAGGAATTATCAACATAACTCAATTACTTTTCGAATAATTAATGAAAAACTTCAAGAATTTCACATAAAAATAGATCCATATCTATACTTATTCACTTTTCTATTCTAAAATTGATTTATCGCTACTTCTACCTCCCTAGATAAATTAATTAACTAGATATACACCGCACGTAGGTAATAGTCAAGCCATGCTACGTGCGCGGTTTCCTCATGGTTTTTCCTTCCGCGTGTAGACTTATTGATTGCTTCTTCCCGTATTCAACCACTGGCGCCGCAGCCCTAAATTCTTCCAACTCCATAAATGCACTTTCGATAAATTTTATGAATGAGTTTTGCGTGCGCATGCTTCAAACGATTTTTGTGTGAGTCATGCACTCGTGTTTGATGTATGTATTATTTCGGTGTGATTCAGGAATGTCGAGGAGTTGATTTCCAACCAATTTCAATAAACATCGCGCTCACTTGAAACGTATTATTGAAATTGAGTTTTATTGGCGGCGATGGCGGCTATTTATCAATGGGCGAAATTGTTTTATGTTCGCAAACGTAAACAGATTATGCTTTCGCAAGCAGTTGTGAGATAAAATGTTAAATCAGCGTGTGTGTTTACTTTTCCAAGACAATTTCTATAAACATTTAGCTTGGTAACTGGCCACAGGAATAAATTACGACGTAGTTTAAATTTTAGCACATTTTTGTGAAGTTTTGAAGTTGGATAAAAGTTTAAAACGATTTTTTTCAAGCTTTATTTGTGAATATCTTTAAAAGTATTTGGGTTAAAGCTATGATTCTTTCGGAAATTGCTTCTTACTTAAATTCTATGCTTAATTCCGGAGACGGTTTGTTGATTAAATTATTGAGAAGAAAGTTATTAACATTTAAAGTTGATTTTTTGCTGAATTTTGTCAAAATTGTTTGAAATTAGTGTATAATTAGTGAGAAAAAAAATTATTTTCCATATTTTTTTGACTTAATTTGGTGAAGAATTTAATAAAGAATAGATTTGTGAAGAAATTATAAAGATAACTTCATTAATTTTTGAATAATTGATGAAAAACTTCCAAATTTCAATAAAAATTTGACTAAAATGTCAAAAATTCGCAAATAATTTGCAACAAAAAATAATTTTCCTCATTTTTTAGACTCAATTACATCAGGAATTTAATAAAGAATGGATTTGTAAAGAAATTATTAAAATATCTCAATTAGTTATCGAGTAATTAACAAAAAACTTACGAAAAACTTCCCGCATTTTTATTTGAGCGATAATACTTTTTATTTTACAAATATAAATTCTTCTATGAAACTTTCTTCTGTATAATTCCTCTTTGTAATAGCCTCCTCTCCCTCTCGTATTCCTTCATCCGCAGGACAAAATCCTCGTACTGACACTGCAGATACATGTGTTTTTCGTGCTCGCAGAACACCGGAAAGGGCCAGTAATCCCTGCGACACGCTTTGAATTCCAATAGGCGATGTGCACAGTAATCGCGCTCCTTCGCCTCTAACTTTGCCGAATAATATTCGTCGGGGGTGACACTTGTCTGGCGTTTACCGCGACTCTCGAAACCCAGGCAGGAGTCGTTGCTCGGCTCTTCCAGCGGATGCGGCGTCACCTCCGGATGCATGTACAATCTGTACGCGTTGGTGGGCATATTACCAAAGAACCACGAACTGCTGATGTGATTTCCCATTCTCTCGGCGTTTTTAAATTCAGAAATGACAATAGTACTAATGTCAAATTATTCGCAAACAATAGAAGTAATAGTTATCTAGTCACAGATGACGTACTTTTGTTTTTCTTGTCTATAACAATGCTGGGAATCGTTTGGGGAAGCCTTGAATTAATTTCTGGCTTGGATTAGACGCCGGTGCGATAAGAAAATGGAGGTACAATTGAATTGATTCGCACACAATCAAAGAACGAGAAATATTCAGGGACTGTTAAATAACTTGGTAATAACTTGTCAAGGTTGGAAATATTTAACCTTAAAACTAAAAATATATGTAATAGTAATATTATACAGGGCGAGTGGTAATTTTATTACTTTATTCCGAGGTGTTGTTACATTGAGTAACAAAAATAGCAAATTTTGGGATTTAACGTGATTTGGATCTGTTTAATCTTTTGTAAGTTGGTTATAAACTCAATTACTTTAGTAAAAATGCCGGTAAACATTTCCTGAAGTCTAAATATGAATTCCGCGTCGCGATGTTGTATTCACTTGTGTTATGTTTAAATGATTTTCTAGTAACGCACCGTGCACCCCAACAAATTAGCTGAAAAATCGTGCTTAAGTTATAGAAATTTGCATTGCAATTTGTAGGGATGTTGAGATCATAATAACAACAATATTTCAAATGTTACCATCGAGGTCATGTCTTTGAAAAATATATTCTAGCTCATAATTGCTAGAAATGACAATATTTTTCGTCGTTTTTAATAAAAATTAATATAAATGTTAAATTGAGTAACGTTAAAACGATACTACACTGTCAATGGACGTCACGGTCAAAAAATCCTTTAAAAATGTTGAGTTAGTTTGCCATTTAGCAAGCTTTTAGCGCCCGCATCAAGTGGTTTATGGCTGATTTCTTGTCTCATTGTACGTATCACCGTGCATAACGGTTTTGCGGTTTGTTATGTTGTGTCGATGTGCCGTTTGGTTCGTTATCCGCGCTTTTTAGCCAGATGCGCGCGTAATTTATTTCGAAAACCGTCGGCGCATCCAACGTACACCGTGATGGCCATATGCTACTTAAGTAAGTTAATAAAGTAGCAGTTTAGGCGTTTATGTCCAATTTATATACAAACGCAGGTAATGCATAGCTTCTCGGAAACTTCATTATCAACTTAATTATCGCTGTTGGAATGTAGGTATAATTTATAGCTATATTAATATTAATGATTTTATAGTTTGTAAGACGTGTTGTTTTTTTTACAATTTTACTATGGCCTGATTTAGATATTTAGTGACGTTCATTTGTTGTTTTCGGTTTTTTCGTCTTGCGTCATTATATTATTTAAATCCGCTTCTTATCAATATAATGAATAATTACACTTTTAAATACTTGAAATGTTTTGTTGTGGCATTCAATAATTAATGGCTTATTACAAATAATTTGTGTTTTATAATTTTATTTTTTCATTTTGATAGTAAATATCTCGAAAAATATTACTTTTATCATTTTTCTGTAAACTTTACTGTTTATTATCTCAGAAAAATATTTTACATTCATATTTTTCATCAGAAATTTTTATTTACAAAAATTGTACGGAAAAATTCCTAAATTTTAATTTTTTGTTTTCGAAAAACCCAAAAACACATTGTAAATATTTACAATTACCAAGAATTATTTGGAATATTTACAACTGAATTATTACGTTGATAACACCGCTTATCTAATAAGTCTGCTGTGTGCTTTACATAAAACAATGAACATAATATAAACACTTGTTGACTCATTGTTTGCACTCGCATGCGACTAGATAGGAATTTTTCCGAATATGAATGAATTATTTCTTTTCTCTAATGTTTAGCACATTTTTTGATGCTCTAAACATTTTTTTCTTGCTATTATTTTACAAATTGCGCTTACATACACAATGATTACTCATCGCGTTATACTTCTGTCGACTGTTTTTCGCTTCTCGCGCGTCTAATAATAACAAACGCTTATTATTATACTTCATTATAGATGGGAAACGCCAAGGTTAAGCAGTTTAATGTTTCAACGCTTATTATGTACATTGTTTGCTGATTCCAGCTAACATTCTAGGTCTAGGTGTGTGTTGTATATTCTAGAAATTTTTGTTTAACAAATGTTGAGAGTAATAACATTGTATAGACTAAATTAAAATACGATTTAGGTTGCGATAGTTTTTTAATGCTAAGTCATTTTTGTGTGTTGATAAAAACCGTTATAACTGGAAGTTCGGACTTATTTTATCCATCATCACTTTTGTCAGCTTCCGTATTGCTTGCTGCAGTAATTGCACTTATTAATAACTCGCCACCCAGTTGGAAAGCGTCGTTAAACAAGAAAATTGATGGAAATCTGCATAAAGTAGGCGAGAAGTGTCCGAAGGAAGTGTAATTATGCGAAATTTACAGAAACAATAATAGAGGAAGGAAGTTGTTTATAGCTTAGCAAAGTGTAATTAATAATAATAAAAGTTTTAGTGGTTTCTTAGAGTCAAGTTAACAAATTGATGCATGTAAAAGTAATAATATTTTATTGATTTATTGAGAAAATTCTTTGTGTGCATCCAAAGAGAAATGAAAATTCAATATTAAACAAAGTTTAAAGGTTCACATAAACATTTTCTTCTAGTAATCATAATAAATAGCTTTGTTTATTTGTTTGCGATTGTCACTCACTTTTACCTGCAATTTTCTAAAGACGACACTTGTGTTTGCTCAGTGAAAGTTTTCGACGAAAAGGCGCACAATTGAAATCGAAATTAAAATCACTCAAGCCCAAATGTTTCCACTTTCCAACTTTGTGTCCTCTTGTTTAGATGTTATTATATTATTTTCACTTTTAATATTTAATAATAATATTTCCTACGTGACTTCAAAATAATTTAGGATTTGATTTTGATTGGGTTTTTCTGAAATTTAATTGTTTGGATTTAAATTTTCCACATTACACATTACGCACTTCAATTAAAAATACAACAATGTTGGAATATACGAGTACTATAAAGTTTGAAGTGTCACACTTGAATGAATAATATGAATATCACCTCGATGGCGCATCATCGCAACGCGTCGTGTCAGCAAGGTCGGGTTGAATTAACCTCGATACACATTCGAACGCATCGACCCGATAATGACGACGCTTGTATAAATATTCAAGAGAATATATTTTAATAGATTATAGGAGGATTTTGCAAATAATGGGGGTATTACTTGCAGAAACCACAATTTTTACTTTAAAATATGTTTTTTCTTGTGTTTTTTACTTTAATTTAATATTCAATTATTGAAAAATTGAAAATAGGCGAAATTATATTGTCAAAATTGGCTTCAGTAGCCTATGTTATTCTCCTATGTTCAAAATATCTCCAAACCAAAATTTATCAAAATTGATTGAATGGTTTTTGCATAGCAGTGACACAAACATTCGCATTCATAATATTTGTTAAGATAAGTATTTTGCGTTTGATTGCGTACGGAAATGTTGCAAATGTCTTATCACTGAATTTGTCATCTCACACCATCAATTAATGACATGCTAATGATATGAGTTGTGTTGCTAGGTTGTGTGCTAGATTCGCGTCTGTTTCCACCCGGAGTTTTCATTTTTGGCGCACTCATCACATCTTTCATCATCATTTCATAACTAATGTAAATATACGCGTACACGACTCGTGCATATCAAGCCTCAGCATTCAGCATTAATTCCTCATAGTTTATAGTTGCTAGGATTACTAGTATGAGTTGTTTACGTAGGTAAATAGTTTCAGTATCTACTAGAATCTAGAATAATAATACTGCAAGTGTCTTCTTTAAAATGTAAGAAAATAGGTCGTGCAGTTGTACGTTTTCCCATCGTCACAAATTTACTACAACTGCTCTAAATTAATTAATGATTATGATTAAGGATTTTAAGAATTTTCTACAACTAGTATTTATATATTGGTGTCATTTCAACAACAGTTAGTAGCAATTATTTGCAATTTTGATTAATTACTAAGTCGTCCGAATAACTGAAAACATCTGCAGTCTAGTCTAGTCTAGTCTAGTCATCTGATCGCATCATACTCTTATTGCCATTGCCACAGTTTATTCAAGCGGGTAATGTTGAAAAAATGATCATAATGTGGTCATCACTTTGTTATTACTTCCTCAATCTACTCGTTTCAATTTACCGTTTACAGTTAACGACGTATTACTCGATAAAAAATTATTTTGCCTGGTTGTCTTGTTGAACTTCACTGGGTAAAATAAATATTTAAAATTTAGTTTTGAAGGTGTTTGAACTCGATTATTGCATGTGGAAATGTCCGATTGCAATCAGCACGACAATTATATCTTATCGATTGTCAATGTGCGTCACGCCGCATTCTTCAACGAAGCTTGAAGCCGGTCGCTGCTCACGGACTGATTAAAAACCAAAGGAAAAACGTTGTGCTCGTACGCATCGAACAATAGATAATTAGGTTGTAAGCTTTTGGCTTCTGATTGACGTATGCCGGCGGAGTATTTTTACTTGCTCACGTCGGGTGACGAAATGACGACAGCGCGAACGACAATGAAATCGAATCGCGTTGCAATTGCAAAACGCTGTTTGAATGACCGCCATGAACGTGACCTGCTAATAACAATAATATAACATGTGGAAAGGATTAATGAACTTGTATTTAGAAAGATTAGGTGTTAAACATCATTTTCTTGAATTTTAGGAGGAAAATGAGTTGTACTTTTTCGCGATTTTCCAAAAAAAAGAGATTTTCCTCTGGGAATTGTTTTATTTTTTAGATTGTTGTTAAACACAGAAATGACTTAAGTGTAGTGTTGATTGAGTTGTCTGTTTCTGCATAAAATGCTAAGCAAAGTCAACGATTTTTCGCGATTCTGTCAATTACACCTATTAGCAAAACCAGAAAATTTCATTTTTAGAAATTAAAATTTTCAAATTTTCTCGTTAAATTTTTATTTTTTGCGAATTTCAATCTGAAATCCAATTTAAGTACTAATCCAGCGGTAAAAGGCACGCGCATGTAACCGTTTTACCACTTTTTTCTTTACCTTCTTAACGGCGACCATCTGCGACCTGCACCGGGCCCGCCGCAGGCCTGCAGGCTTTTCAGCTTTCAACCGTACTTGTAACTTTATACAATATTTGCTCAGTGCGCTACCGGCGTTATTACCAGCTCGTTTGTTATAATTGCAATTTGCGCTGTTCGGACCACCGACTAGACTCTAGACTTCAGGCCTCCCAATGCGGACGTTGTAAGTTACAGTTTGCATTATCGCTTGTTTTAGCGTTGATTAGCAAACTATATTCATACTTGGCGCGTTATAGCAACAATACGCTTAACTCGGTAGCGAGTGTTCAGTCGCGACTCGCTGATCAGCGTTCAGTCGGTGTTCACCTTTCGACGGAAACGCATCGCGGCCGGCAGGAAATTGTACATAGTCATAATTGTGTTTAATATAAACAAAAATAAATAATAAATTTATTTTTGAGTGTTTTATAACGGAATATTGTGTGTTTTTATTTTATTTTGTGGATTTTTTACAAAAGAAAGTGAAATATTTCTCAAATCGGATTTTAATTGAAATTTTCTTGTGGAACTGGTTTGCGTGTGTGCACATGTGCTGGTTTAGTGGATATGTTAATTGGATTATTTCGAAAGCAAACAAATTAGAAAACTCCAACAAAACGTGCCAAGTAAAAGGATTATCTATTTATATTGATGGTATTCAGTGCATCTTATCATGATTATCTACGCGTATGCTTGTATCTGGTGCATGAAGCTACGAAGAGTAAGCCATATTTATTAATTAATGAATTAATTTAATTTTAATTTAATTAAAAAGTGCAAAAAACGCATCGCAATATAAATTTTTCACTCTGGCGGTTTATGTGTTGTTGTTGTTTGTGTAACTGGTGCGTGAAATTCAACCTGCGCGCGTTTTAATTATCCGAAAAACCATTAAACATTTTCCTTTAATTTCCTTCGAATGTCATGCATTAATTGAATGTTTACGTGCGCCTGGCAATCACTCTGTTTTCTCATAAATTACGTATTTATTGACGCCGTGGTGACTGTATGTGCGAAGGTGAAACTAATTTGATTGAAATTGCACATTTTCATTACACTACAACTCTATAAATAGGTTAGAGTAAATTGTAACATTTTGTGGCTATAGTAACAGCAAATAAATAAGAAATTTACTTGGTTGGACACTTCTTAATCGTATTGTTTGTATGTTTGTGACGCTGTTACTCAAAAACCAATTAAACAATTTTGATAAATTTTGGTTTGGAAGTATTTTGAACCTAGGAGAATAACATAGGCTACCGCATGTCGCAAAAATATAACTTGAAGGGTGTGCAAAATAGTGCAAAACACTAATTGAATATTAAATGTTTAAATACTGCTGATCCTTGTCATGCAATAAAAAAATTTCAACCCGAGCTACTGGTGATGAATAATTTAATGAATGTGCGTTGATTTTTACATTATTTGTTTTTATTTGCATTTACACGTTTTTTGTTGTTTCTTGTTAATTGTGAATTGAAATGCATTTTATTCCAACCGTCCAATTAAAATTAATTACCACCGGTGTTTCATCATTGAAATTAAAAATAGACCTGTTGCTCGCAATTAACTGAATCTGATTTAAATCGTTACCAGGTATTACATTCGATTGCGACATTTGTATATTGCGCAAACCGGTGTGAAGTATACCTACTCTACACTACCATGTATAAATATTAATATTTATATTTTAACTTGCAGATAGTCGGTGGAAATGATATGAAGATGCTTCGATACTCTGAAATTCCACGAGAGATTTCATCAGATAACTTCGCCAAATTTAACGTAAGTTTTTATTTAATTTTTTGTTTGTAAAATTTGAATTGTTTTGGTTTCGCAATGTGTTTTGTTTTTTTTGTGCTTATGGTGCTCGTTTGAATTGGGTTTTTGTTTGATATTTTATATATTTTGGAAAGTAATTAATTAATTTCTTTTTGTAGTATTAAATTACGTTAAAATTGAATTAAGATGTGCGCCACACTCGACCCGCTGTTCTTGTCCAACATTTTTATTTTATTCAACGTTACGAAAAACAAGCACCATTTGCATTTGGTAATAATTTAGTTCAATTAAGATAAAATTAGATTTTAGAATTTGTGTGTTTTTTTATTGTGTAGAAACTCGAAGAACATCACAAGGAAGATGATTGTTGCAAAGTAAGCAATGGCGGCCATCCGAAACACGAACGCGAACGAAAAATATCCTCACACAGCATATCAGGCGGACCGGGACCACCTCCATACAATTATTCTAATCATTCGTAAGTCTTTTTGTTTGTTTTTAAATTGTGAGTGGTTTAAAGTAAATTTTTTTGTGGGTTTTTGCGTGCAGGACATCATATTCATCAGTACCTGTAAATCCGAAAACACAAAGCCTTCCGAGCACGGCGCGAAGCGTGGGCGGCGGCGCCGTGCTGGACGTGTTGCGCATCTCTCCCGAGGAGCTCGCCAGCCAGGTGACGCTGCTCGATCTGCCTTCCTTTCTGCTCATCCAGCCGGACGAACTCACCAGCTGCGCGTGGAACAAGAAGAATAAATTAATCGTCGCACCCAATGTGGTTGCATTCACAAGACGCTTTAATCATGTAAGTATTTATTTACTTTCTTGTGTTTTTTATATGAAAATTATAAAATTTTCGTGTTTTTAGGTGAGTTTTTGGACGTTACAAGAAGTGTTGTCAGGAAAAACGCCAAAGGCGCGCGCTGAACTCCTAGCACACTTCGTCAAAGTCGCCAAGAAACTCTACGACCTCAATAATCTGCATTCGCTCTTTGCAATAATCTCAGCCTTACAAAGTGCCTCCATTTATAGGTAATACTTTTTAAACATAACCAATTTTATATAGATTTATACGATTATTTGGTTGCCTATGTCATGCAGGCTTTCGAAAACATGGGGCTACCTATCGAAGAAGGACAAACAGACGTTTGATAGGCTCGCCGAGGTGTTTTCCGATAATAATAACTGGGCGAATCTGCGCAGTCACATCGAGAGTCTCAAGTTGCCGTGCATTCCCTATTTGGGACTGTATTTGACTGACTTGGTGTACATTGATATGGCGCATCCGCATTCCGGCGGCCTGGAGTCGCAACAGCGCAGCCTCAAGATGAATAATATTCTGCGCATCATCTCCAATTATCAGCTCTCTAATTACTCTCATCTGACGGTCATCACGCCGGTGCGCGACTATCTCAATTCGATCAGGTACATCGAGGAGTTGCAGAAGTTCATTGAGGATGATCAATATAAGTAAGTAATCATATAACAATAACACATGTTTACCCCCACCACTTTTTACGGGTTGCTCGAAGGAATCAGCCTCCACTAGAGCAATCGTAGCTCCCTATATGGTTCCTCTCCTTTCTTTTTACCGTTTTTTAGTTTTTCCGTAGTAATTTCCGTAAAGATTTAATGTTTTTTTGCTTTCCAGATTATCATTGCGTTTAGAACCACCATCACCCCCACCGAGTTCATCCAGTTGCAGTTCCAAGGAGTCTGTAATCGACAATAGCGCAATCGCCTCCCTGAATTTATCACCCGCAAAGGCATCGAGTGGTTCATTGCGATTGCACGCTGTCACTGCCGGAACAAAGTTCATCCCGGGACATCGAAAGTCACGCTCACTGGGAACAAAGTATGCATTTTATTATTTCTTAATTGCGTTTTTTGTCATTTATATTCATTGCGCTGACATTACTGCTGCTGAACGTGTGTGTGTGCCAACTAACATGTTTGTGTTCATCTCGTTCGTTGCGCCGAAGATTTCGTAGCACGAGTCTTCCTCGTAACTTCCATAAGGGAACCCCTTTATTTGGGTACTCGTCGATCGTGGTACCCTGGGGGTAAGTCGTCTCATTAACTAACGCCAAACAAACACACCATTTGTTACCCAAATTGTACGTGGAGAGATATTGTAGTAGTTTTGAAGGATATACTTGCGTAATTAGAATATGCTTGCATCTTTATGTTTTACTTTGATACAGGCGGCCATTTTTAATAATGTTTATCTTCGTGTTTTTCGCAGCATTTTTAGTAAAGGGCAGCAGACAACGAGTATTGACTTGTGTGACATGCCCAAGGCGTTGCATCTCTTAGACGACTCGGAGTTAGAAGATAGTAATCATGTTATAGCTGTGGAAATGCCTTCGCCGACCAATGAGAAGCAATTGCTGGAGGCGTCAAGAAATACTTCGGAAGAATCACAATTACTTACAAGGTACGTGTTATACACTACTAAATTACATAAATTATATGATTAAACATTGTTTTCTTTTGTTTTTATAGACTGAACGATGATGACATGCTGGTTGGGGACCAATGCACATTGCAAGGGTACGTCCGACGTAAAACAGTAATGAAACATGGCCGCAAACCGGCGGTTACGTCATGGCAACGATATTGGGTGAAAATATGGGCGTCATGTCTTGCTTACTATCCACCAAAATCATTTAAGGGGTACGCAATTAATATTTCAAGATGTCGGGCGTCATTTAAATGTTTTATTCTGTTTTTAGTTCGCAAAGATGTGACTTTAAAAGCGAACCCACGAAAATGGTTTCGCTGGTCGGCGCGCACGTCCTGCTCGGCGATAACTCGCCGCACACGGACGTCTTCCAGCTTATTGACCAACAACGACGAAACATTTATAAGTTTCGCGTTGGTACGGCGGGTATGGCCGACAGATGGTACCAACACATCAAGCGGGCTGCCGCTAATGACGATACTCCTCTTCCCGACAACCTGATGACTTTCGAGTGAAACTCCTCTGCGTTTCTTTATATTCTGACATTTCGTTTTAGAAAGATAAACAAAACCCTTGTTTAGATTGTTTTTGTATAGTTTTATATTTGACAAAAAGTGGATTTTATTTTTCTTACTTTTTATTGATTACGATTTATGCGTATGCATAGTCATTCAATACATGCTGTTTAGTTATTGCTTGCATTGGAGTTCGTTGCTTGCTTTTCAAATGTTTGATGAAGTGAAAATGAGAGCAATAAATGTGTATGTGCAATATTCTAAACTCACGCGAGCTGTACCAAAATAACGTTTTGAGATATTCGAAAAGATGGCGTTTCAAGTATTATTCCACAATTTAACATAAAACATAGTTGAAGAAAGAGGACAGATCTCGTGACACTGTTTGATTGTAAACAACTTTTTTTATCGCGCTGAACCAGTTCCATTCTGCGTTCGGGCTATGTACTAAAGTTTGCTCGCTTCAGTCTGTTTATCTACAAGCGGTGCAACACACGCGTTTCTCGTGCAAGCCTCGTTTGTGTTTGGTTGAAATTCGTCATCCATCGAAATTACGAAATTTAATTTCATCTCTTCGCGCTCATCGGTATTTGTGGTTGAAATTCGTGGTACATTTGGTTACATCTCTGGAAAATGGAATTCTTTCACCCAATCCAATCCAACATCTACGACATTTCACTGGTAGGTTTAGCATTGAATTGATATTATTAATTTAATTTTCATGATTGATTATGTCTAAATAACGGTTTCGTAATCGCAATGTATGGTCTTTTGTATGTACGCATTCGAGAAGATTTCAGCATCGTGAAATTAGTCAGTGCGTAGAATAGAATTGTTATTGTATTTGTCTCTACGCGTTTATCAATGTTGGTGCAAAAACAAGTTTTTATTGTGTTTAGATCTTTCACTACCTGCGAGTTGTTGCAGGCTGCACGGTTTATTATGCGTGAATATGTGTTTTAACTTTATTTTTAAATTCCGTGTAGAAATATGATACAATTCGATTATCATTAATTTTATTTAAACCGTTCGTACGATTTCAATGATTCTTTTATATTTCAGTAGTGCAAGAGTTATTTTTTAAAAGAAGCCCTATTGCCGCCTCTAGGAATCACACTTGAACTGCTCTTAAATGTGTCGCAAACTTTTACGATTCTTGTGAATTTTAGAAACACACAGTAAAAATTTGACTGTATCTCGGAAACCGTTTCTGCGATTTCAGAGATTCTTTAAAATTTGTACAATTTAGATAGTATAATATAATATAATATTAATATTGCTAGAAGTGCCTTAAAATCACTGTCAAACTTTGATATTTTTTGTGAATTTTTGAGACTTGCGGTAGAAATTTGGTTGTAATTCGGGTAGTTGATGCAATTTTATTGATTTTCTAAACTTAAATAGCGCGAGAGGTATTTTATACGATGCGTCCTTGCAACTCCCGGAAAGATAGCTAAAATCTCGGAAATAAATGATAATTTTGTTTTTTCTTTGCCGCGGTATAGAAAATGAGTTGCTGTTTTAAATAATATCAACGAAATTACATATATAATTATTTATTTTTATTTTGCAAAGTGCAGTATTACAATTATAACACTGTAATACTGAAATAGAAATAAAACATAAACGTATTTTATAAAGTGTAGGGTACGCTTTACAAATCTCGGGTGTGTTAACTAAGCCTCGGTAGGTTATTGTGTCAACCTGCATTGCTTGATTGACACAATTATACATAAAATATAATACATAAAATATAAATACATAAAATTTTACTTTTTTTTATTAAGTGAATATAATAACTTATATAATTATTTATTTCAATTTTGCCATGTGTAGTGTTATAAATGTATTGCGGTAGTACTAAAATAGAAATAATTAATATTTTACTCTCCAACACACACATATAAAGTGTGAAGGGTGTGAAGTAGCCTTTACAAAAATGTTGGTGTGAGATGAACTTTAAAAGTTGTACATAAAAAGTATCATATATAAAATTTTACTTTAATTTTTATTAAGGTAACGAAATCATTTATATAATTATTTATTTCTATTTTAAAAGGTGCAGTGTTACAATTATAACACTGTAACACTGAAAACGAAATAATATAAGTTTACCGCCCAAAACGTGTTGTATAAAGTGTATAGTACGCTTTACAAACAGCGTGTGTGTCACTAAGCCTCGGTAGGTTAACACAATTATATATAAAATATAATACATAAAACATAAAAGAATAAAATTTTACTTTTGTTTTTTTTTAGTTAATGTAATAACTTATACATAGAAAAATAATTAAAATTGAGGGCATACAGGTTCAGTAAATCGAGGTGGGTGTAAATTGTTTGTATATTATTTCTATCCTTACTCGTTGTTATGTTAAAGCAGTTTTGTTTTCACAGGATTTTAGGACTTGTTTAAAACTGTAAGTAATTGAATTTTATGTTTTCCTAATCTTCACACTTGTGAAATTTATCAAATGCATTATAACACTTTGATTTTTAGATTTATCTGCTTTACTGGGGCATTCCATGGATCTGGACACAGTGCAACATCTTACATTTTGTGATACACAGAGCCCAGAAAGAAAAGGACTGAAGAATGAAGTTAATAAACACCGTCAAACGTCGCTATACTTTTTTCTACTTTCAACATAATTGGACCAAAAATCTGCGCGAAACTTGTGTTTCAAATTGAATTTTTATTTTGTATCATCCTGTCTGTCAATGTTAATTTCTTTCTTTGTCTCTACGTAGTCTTGAGTTAACATGTCCCTTCGACATTCTTGTACTTTGCATAACTAATATCTCTCAAAGTAGTGTGTAATGTGTTTATATTAGATAAATAGTATTACCATTGTCCCTCGTGTGCTAATCTATATGTTTTAAATTTGCATGATTCTTGTAATAATCCTGTAGCACCTTGGAAGTTAGTTAAGCATATAATGGTCAAGTAATCTTGTTGATGAATGTTTCTTTGTAATAATTGTTGAATTTGTAGTTCTATTTGTTTAAAGTTTAGATGTTCACGTATTTTATCCCACTCTCAATAGCTAGTAAAGTTGTGTTAAGCGTTACATTTGCGTGTTTCTAGTTTGGTTCACTTGTATAACTTTAAAAGTATGTTTGAAATGTATATACTTTTGCGCTGTGTTTTCTTGACTTAAATGTGCATGAGCCTAGTATTCGTGTACAAGTTAAAAAGATTGTTTTTGTATTTAGATATGTTGTGTTGTTGTTGTCTCCTTCTGTACTAAAATGTAGTATGTTTCTAGTATAACTTGATAGTGTAGAAGTGGGGAACATGTGTTCATCTGTAGATAGATTGTCTTGCCGTTGTCCTTTGTGTTGTTTATAAATATGACTTGTGTTACATGTGTAGAATTTGGGAAATATAATAGTTATAGTTAGTATAAAGGTAGTTTGTAATATTGAAGTAGTATAGAATATAGTAGTAGTACAGTAGTAGTAGTATCACAGTAGTATGGCAGTAGTACGCTAGTAGTATAGGAGTAGTATGAATTATATTTTCGAATTTAAAATTTCGAAATTACCTAGCTTAGCTAATAGGAATTGGGGGTCACTTTTACCGCTACTTTTACTAGATGCGGAATTTAAATGTGTATCTCCCTGTATTGAAATGTATTGCTAGAACATTTTTTTACGCGAGTTATATTGATAGTTGTGTGTATACACATTTGTACTCGTTGCGCTAGGGTATGTAGTTGTTTTGTAATTACACGTGAACGCGGTCTAATTCTAAGTCCGGAATAATTTTATTAGATGCGGAATTTAAATCTGTATCTCCCTGTATCGAAATGTATTACTAGAAAATTTCTTTACGCGAGTTATATTGATAGTTGTGTGTATACGCATTTGTACTCGTTGCGCTAGGGTATGTAGTTGTTTTGTAATTACACCTGAACGCGGTCTAATTCTAAGTCCGGAATAATTTTATTAGATGCGGAATTTAAATCTGTATCTCCCTGTATCGAAATGTATTACTAGAAAATTTTTTTACGCGAGTTATATTGATAGTTTATGTCAAAATTTGATGAGTTAACTCTTCATATCTCGAAATTCTTGTTAAGTCGAAAACTTGCTATCTCGAATTTTTTTTGGTTTCCCTTGACATTCGAGTTATCAAGGTTCTACTGTATAAACCTGTCGGTGTGTTGTATTACATCATTTCGCAAACATGTTCAAAACAAGTTCAATCGTTATCCTGTTGCTCGGCGTGTGTCACCTGAACGGTAAAACCACAAGTTATCAATTTCAATTTGAGATACTTACGAATAATTAATCTAGCCTTATCAACACGTATCATCGAAGGTGAAGACGTGGATATTACTGAAGTACCATGTCAGGTATCCCTTCAACATGTCAATGGCACCCACTTCTGCGGAGGATCAATCCTGACCAACAAATGGGTCCTCACTGCTGGCCATTGTATGGACAGTGACCCTTCACCCATTGATAAACACGTAGTTATTGGAATGTCTAAACTATCCGAAGGAGGTGTTATTCACACCATGAAACGTTCAATTCAACATCCTCGGTATTATACCGTCGTTGGCTACAGTCATGATATGACCCTAGTTGAATTGGACAAACCAATTGTATTTAACGACCGTGCACAACCAGTTCGTATACCCAGCGATGAAGAAACTCCTCCATTTGGGGAATATTGCACTGTTCAAGGTTGGGGACGTCTTGCAGAGCTGGGGGATCTCTCAGACCAGTTACAGAAGACCACCCTACCACTTTGGAATCCTAAGGAGTGCCAAAAGTACTGGGGTTACCCAATGGATTTTGATGGCCCTGATGCTCCTTTCATGTGTGCTGCCTGGAAGGACGCCGTTCCTAATACCTGTCATGGTGATTCAGGTGGTGTTCTAACCTATAATGGTGTACAATATGGGATTGTGTCGTTTGGAGTAAAATGTATTACTCCATCTTATCCTCAGATTTATACCCACGTGTATAACTTGAGAGATTTTATCTATAATTATACAAATATAGAAATCTTATGATTCTTATCAAATGGTTTTCACACTGAAAGTACGAGTAGGAGAAACAATAGATGATATTAATAGGATATCGATTAAATCTAATCATTGTTCAAGTGTTGTAAAATACTTTGATCCACATTTGTAAACTACTTGATAATACAAATTATAACATTGATTTTTGTACGCTTATCAAAGCATATATAAACCTTTCGATGCGCTGTGCCACACCACATTGCAAACATGTTCAAAACAAGTGCACTCGTTATTTTGTTAGTTGGTGTTTGCCACGGTAAGAATAATAAAATATTAACCAAATTTGAATAAAAATTATATTACTTGTATGTATGCAGCCCAACCAACACGTATCGTTGGTGGTGAAGATGCCGACATCAGGGATATCCCATGGCAGGTATCTTTACAATACAGTGATGGCTTCCACTTCTGCGGCGGGTCCATCCTCAGCAGCAAATGGGTCCTCACCGCTGGTCATTGCATGAACAGCGACCCAAACCCCTCAGATAAACGCGTCGTTGTTGGCATGACTAAAAAATCCGAAGGTGGTGTTGTCCACACCATCAAGCGTTCAATCCAACATCCCCAGTACAACACCGTGGTTTCCTACAGTCACGATATGACCCTTCTTGAATTGAATGACCCAATTGAATTCAACGAACGGGCTCAACCCGTGCGCCTGCCTACTGATGACGAAACTCTTCCCGTTGGTAAGATTGCTCTTATTCAGGGATGGGGCCGTCTTTGGCAAGATGGTGACTCACCTGATCAACTCCAAAAGACCACTTTGCCCATCTGGGACCCGAAAGATTGTGCTAATGCCTGGGGTTTCCCTGAAAATGTGTTTGTTGGACCTGATGCGCCTTTGATCTGCGCTGCATGGGAAGGTGCAATGCCCAACACCTGCAATGGTGATTCCGGTGGTCCACTTACCTACAATGGTATTCAGTATGGTATTGTGTCCTTTGGAATGGGTTGCGTTAATCCTGATTATCCTAAGGTGTTCACTCACGTGTACAACTTGAGGAACTTCATTTATGATAATACTGATTTGTAAATATTGTAAATTAGGTTAGGATTCAATAATAAAACAACGCCATTTTGTTTTTAAACTGTTTATAACCTATTTTTATCATTTCTCGTGTTTCTATACGATGATTGTCATTTAATTCGATTAATTTCAGTAACCAGCAGTGTTTTGGCATAATTTCAATAGATAACGTGATAAGGACTAAATATACAAGTACTACAGGAAGTCCTTAACAAGACAATGAGTTTACATCGTTTCAAAACACTTGTGATAGCTTTGCAAACAAATTATTTATAAAAATAATGATTGTTGTTTACAAAATTCAATGTTGCTTCACTAAATAGTTACTAAACAGAGTATATTGCTCTAATTTTTGGAACTGTTTTACAATTGTTGCGATTGTGACGTAAATGTTGATATTACAAACAAGTCTATCGCGTAAATTCATGCAAATCCATGCAATTTAAGTTTAAATCGTCTGAGGTAATAAAATTTATGATGGATGACATATATCTAAGATTCCTTTGCCGTTTTCAAGTCATTCTAAGTTGTTGCCACGTTAGAAACAGCAAAATGTATCAAATTTTATTTTTGTACAGTTTTAACCTCAATAGTTCATTTTCTAACCAATCAAGTGGTTCGTATTGATTTACAATGTAAATTTAGTGATTAAATTAATAATTTGTTTGCTTTTAAGGTGTTAGAATCATCGGTGGTTCAAATATCAACATAACCTCGGTTCCATATCAAGTTTCCCTTCAAAATGTCGGCAGTAACTTCCACACTTGCGGTGGGTCCATTCTCGCGCCATCTTGGATTCTCACTGCAGCGCATTGCGTGCGTGATTTTGATCCTTTGAAAAAACAAATTGTCGTTGGAATGACTCTGCGTAGCAAAGGCGGAATAATCCATAGTATTAAACGTGTGGTTCAACATCCGCTTTTGGTTCAGCGCATAAATATAGCCATGATATTGCCCTTATAGAATTGAATACTCCGATCACGTTTAATGCTTTAGCGCAACCTGTTAGACTTCCTGAAGATGATGAACCACTTCCTGTTGGGAGTGTTTGTAGAATTTCCGGTTGGGGACGGTTGGAGCACGAAGGTGATAAGCCTGACCAACTGCAATCAACTACAGTACCAATATGGAAGCCTAAGAAATGTGCGGCTGCTTATAAATATTCAAAATCATTGTTTGATGGAATAGAGGCGACTATGATGTGCGCAGGATGGGAAAATGGCGGCTCGGATACTTGCAGTGGAGATTCAGGAGGTGGACTTGTGTGTGGTGATGCCGTTTATGGCATTGTTTCGTTTGGAAAAGGCTGCGGGACTGTTTATCCAAAAGTATTCAGTCACGTATACAATTTGCGAGAGTTTGTTGAAAGTGTTATCGGGTAGATTACAAGAAAGTGTATTATTGTAGTAATACAATAGTACTATTGTCATTTGAAAAGTCTTTTATAACTTTCAAATCAAATAAAGGTTTGTGGATTAATATGCATGAGTAAAATAAGTCACATTAATTTTTCGTAATCTCTCATTCCCTCAAAATGTGCTTGTATTATAATTTAATTCTGTAAATCACGACAAGATGACGCTAGAATACACATATTTGAATTAAATTCTAAGCGCACTTATCGCAGCCAGTTTTTGGATGGTAGTAGTGCGTGTTCCTGAGAGGACGCGCGCGACTTGTTGCAACAGGTTTTGTTCTTATCTGTTATATTTATTTGTTTACGTCCGTGAAACGGTTTGCTGTGCAACTTACACAGTGCTGAAAGTGTCTTGCGTTCGCGTAGTTGCAAATTACTAATCGCCGTCACTGAAACTCTGTATTTCTTTCGCGAGATGTTTCACAAACGATTGAATCGGTAAATCGTGATATGTTCGGTTTACGCCATGTAATAATAACAAATGTGTTGTGTTACTGATGATTTATAGTGTTCGTAAAATATTAGAAAACGTGAAATTATATTCTGTCGACTGTTGGATGTCATGGATTACAAAGACAGTAGACGCGCAAACATGTTACCTTGTAAGTAATACAAGTTTTTATCTGACCTGTGATATGTAGTATCGTAGTGCCGGGCAAAGTGTTCTACATTGTATTATTTTGTTACAGAACTTGCCGTAGGTGTATTGAAGATGACTGGTAAGTAAATAATTAAATTAATCTCGTGCCGGTTCGTGCGAATACAAATCGAGGACGTTGTTATTGTTATTTGGGATGAAATTGTGGCATATCTCGCATTAATTGGAAAATTATTAGTTTTATCTATGCCAAGTTATAAAAAAAGCGTTTTTATTTAAAATGATGTTATGTTAAGGGGCGCCGACCCGCACTTGGCCGGTTTTTTCGTAGGGGTTTGAATTGCAACTTACCGTAAATGCGGAATAATTTTGTTAGATGCGGAATTTAATTTTGTATCTCCCTGTATTGAAATTTATTGCTAGAAAATTCCGTAACGCGAGTTATATTGATAGTTGTGTGTATACGCATTTGTACTCGTTGTGCTAGGAATAGTAGTTTTTTTGTTATAACACGCGACCGCGGTCTAATTTTAAGTCGGGAATAATTTTGTTAGATGCGGAATTTAATTTTGTATCTCCCTGTATCGAAATTTATAGCTAGAAAATTTTTTTACGCGAGTTATATTGATAGTTGTGTGTATACGCATTTGTACTCGTTGTGCTAGGAATAGTAGTTTTTTTGTTATAACACGCGACCGCGGTCTAATTTTAGGTCGGGAATAATTTTGTTAGATGCGGAATTTAATTTTGTATCTCCCTGTATTGAAATTTATAGCTAGAAAAATTTTTTACGCGAGTTATATTGATAGTTGTGTGTATATGTATACGCATTTGTACTCGTTGTGCTAGGAATAGTAGTTTTTTTGTTATAACACGCGACCGCGGTCTAATTTTAAGTCGGGAATAATTTTGTAAGATGCGGAATTTAATTTTGTATCTCCCTGTATTGAAATTTATAGCTAGAAAATTTTTTTACGCGAGTTATATTGATAGTTGTGTGTATACGCATTTGTACTCGTTGTGCTAGGAATAGTAGTTTTTTTGTTATAACACGCGACCGCGGTCTAATTTTAAGTCGGGAATAATTTTGTTAGATGCGGAATTTAATTTTGTATCTCCCTGTATTGAAATTTATAGCTAGAAAATTTTTTTACGCGAGTTATATTGATAGTTGTGTGTATATGTATACGCATTTGTACTCGTTGTGCTAGGAATAGTAGTTTTTTTGTTATAACACGCGACCGCGGTCTAATTTTAAGTCGGGAATAATTTTGTTAGATGCGGAATTTAATTTTGTATCTCCCTGTATTGAAATTTATAGCTAGAAAATTCCGTAACGCGAGTTATATTATTCATTATTTATTGTGTTGTTAGTTTATTTTTATTGCGTAGAGTAACTACTTTTAGTGAAGCCGACGTATTTCGGCCGTGGTGCATCTGCAGTCTATGTTCCTTATAATAAATACTATGTAGAATTGTTGTAGCATCTTACACTGTTACTATCTGTATTTATAAACAAACAAGTTTTTGTTATCTTTTTCAACTTGTGTCCCGTCGCCACATTCTCGGCACACGCGGTCGGCTTGCAAACGGTGTTAGTCTAATTTTGATCGTCCTGTGAACTGCGCGCTTAGCGAACCTTTAAATTTCTTAATTTCTCTTCGCGTTGTTATGTAATATTCCTAATTGATCTGTAATTGATTCGTTCGATTGCACGAGGGTGATTTGCGGTGTTTGTTAAACGCGGGTTGTATATTCGCAGGGTTAACGCGTGCACGGTTTACAAGTACCGTCGGCCGTCGGGTACTCTTCGATTATATTCATTTAATGTAAAAAGACGTTATCAACTACATTTTGAATTTAATAATTTTCGTACTCTAATATTATGCGCGTGTTTCATCGTGGCTGTAATGTGCGAAATTAATATGCCTATAAGTGATTGGATACTACAAAAGCGAAACAATTATTTTGCATCAAGGTATATTTTTTATAATAGTTACATATTTACATTTAAAATTGATTGATATATTGCTGTATTATTTGTCTTTTATCGCGTTGAATGTTCACATTACAATACTCGTTGTTCAAGATTGTTGTCTGCCGTCGGCTGCTTACTTCGGCTCTCGCTACAGGATGCCACACGTACTCGTACGTTGCATCTTATATTCATATTTGCAATTAATTTATAGATTGCTCTATCAATTATGCCTTCATCCCGTTTGACACAATAAATGTTAAAGTTTGTCGCGTGCCGTCGGATGCGTTTCTTTGCTCTCGCTGCAGCCTATGTCGTGTAAGGTGCTCATTGTTTTATTCGTACAATAAAATTCGTATTTGTGTTTTATTTTTGTAACACTCAAGAATTCACTTTTTCTTGTTATTCATAAGGAAATAATTTCATTTTAATTGTTCTATTACTTTCATTGTTGAATACGTAATCCATTGTATAGTTTAAAAATATTTATTTATTAAAAGTTATACGTGATTTCTTCAGGATTTACATTTTATGTATTGAGTTGACATGTTTCGCTCTGAGGGCATCTTCATAAACTGTTTATGTAAGTAGTTTTGTTTTTAAATATTATAATTTTCTTTTTGTAACACCCTGTATATTAATTTTCTATTATAATCCTCGAAAATTTGATAAATTTTGTTGGTGTAATGTATTGTCTAATTTGTAACATTGTAGTTGGTACACGCAAACAAGTACCAAGTGTATGCAGATAGTAAAACATGTTTCAACATGGCGGACGATATATTGTAACTACTATGTATTTTAGTATCTATGTATGTTTTAATAAAGAAATGTTTAAAGGTATAGTGACTTATATTATGTGTGAGAACCCCTTCTATCATTTCAGCTACAGGTCAGAACTTATAAAATATTTTTAGACTCTGTCACCTTTACTCATGAGGCGACACTAGTCCGAGATCTCTACTCGACTTACTTAAGTAGTATACAAGTCCTTCAGGTTGTCCTTATAAAGGTTTCCCCCCTCGAGGATGATCCCCACCATAAAAATTGTTGATATGCCTGATAATTTCGGGGATGAAGCGCAGAACATCGTAGCTGTAGGATGGGCCGGGAGCAATGGATGGGAATCGAAGCGGTGGGCGATCGACCAGGCGCCGGAGGCGCTCTGGGAGATCGACCGTGAACAATCTTATAACGACACGTGCCAAAAAATTTAAAATCTGATCCTCCCCTGTTCTCTTTCTTCTATCTCCTCCTCTTCTCTACTCTGTTTCTCTTCCTTCTATCGTCTCTCCAACTCCTTATTCTCCTTTTCCCTGTTCTCGAACAATTTGCTCTTACTTCTCTTATTGACTTCACTTGTATTTTTAATTTCTCTTATATTTCGTTGCAATTCATATATGCAACCCAAATTACCACCCTGTCATTTTTTATATTTGGGAAAAATGCCTTCTATACCTGAAGGATTCGATCCGTGTCTGCTAGCATGCCAGCAGGTGCAGGTCTCCACTCAGTACCCAGGTGTTTTATCACTATTATTTGGTTCTTCTATTTATGTTTCTACTTTTATCATATTTTAAAAAACAACAACACAATTCAAGCAACAGTTATGTTATTCCTGCGCCACGCACTTAAGTTATATGCCATACTATTTAATACTGAAAACGGTAGGAACCGGTATCAGGCAAGTATGAATAAAATTATAAATGTAATAAGTGTTTTATTAATAACTTTTAAAAATACATACAAGTAAACAGTCGTAAAAAATAAAACGCGTGTACACGAGAGCGCAAGGTGAACTAAGCACTAGAATAGCAACAATCATTCTGACCCACCGCGTCATATCGCTCTGTGCCGAGTTTGTTGGCCCGTGGCGTCACATCTATATATATAAAAATGAAACCCGTTTCGCGTGGTCAAGCCATCACATGAAAACGGCTAGACCGATTTGGCTGATTTTTTTTTTGCAGTTTTCAAATACTCTGTAGAAGGTTCTTACGGAAAAAAATATTAGGAAAATGTCTCGGGAAGATTGAAAAAAAATAAAACCCGTTTCCCGTTGTCGCGCCATCTATGTGTGAGATTTCAGAACGCATATATAAACTTCACATGACTTATATAGTAATCTGTGGTAATTTGTGACATACCCGCCGCACTAACAATAAGGTTATTAAAAGTTTTTATTTTACAGGTTTTTGTTTGAAAAAGGAAGAAGTCGCTTTCTCATGCATTCCTTTGTATGCTTAAATCATTGAAACTATGCAACGGATTTTGATGCGGTTTTTACTTCCGTGCCGAAGCCGGGGCGGGTCGCTAGCGATGTGACTGGCAGAGAATGCCTTACGGCATTAAGTACGCCTTTTGTACAATATTATTTTTTGGTGTAATAAAGTTTAAATAAATAAAAAATAAATAAGGCGGTACGAAGTTCGCCAGGTCAGCTAGTAAGATAATAAAACATAACAAAACATTTCATTGAATATTTTTCTCCAAATATAATTTACCTTATTTATTGTTCGTTTAAAAAATTCTCCCCCTGAAACTTAAAAAAATCGTGGTATAATAATAGAACTGAACCCATTACTACACACTTGAAAAATAAACTTATGATACAGACAGTACCCTAAAACAAGAAAAATCAGTGTCTCGAATCACAAAAATGCAATTTTTATTGCTTTCCCGTGAGAAAATTGCAAAACTAAGTCATAGGGATGATAAAGAATCACAATACTTACAATTTAATAAAATAATGGTCCTCCTGCAAATTCCGTTCCATTTTACAGCCCTAAAACAAAAGAAAAATCCCGGTGTCTCGAAACACAAAGAAGTGCAATTTTTAATCCATTCCGTGATAAGTTGCAAAACTAAGTCATAGGGATGATAAATTACAATACTTACAATTTAATGCAAATTGCCATCACCACAAAGTCCATTCAATTTTTACAGCCCTAAAACAAGAAAAATGGTGCCTCGAAACACAAAAATGCAATTTTATTACTTTCCCGTTAGAAAATTGCAAAACTAAGTCATAGGGATGATAAAGAATCACAATGCCCACAATTTAATGCAAAATGGTGGTCCTGCAAATTCCCGTTCAATTTTTACAGCCCCTAAAACAAGAAAAATCAGTGCCTCGAAAACACAAAAATGCAATTTTTTATTACTTTCCCGTTGAAAATTGCAAAACTAAGTTATAGGGATGATAAGAAATTACAATACTTACAATTCAATGCAAAATGGTCATCCTGCACATTTCCTGTTCAATTTTTACAGCCCTGAAGCAAGAAAAATCAGTGTCTCAGAAACACAAAAAGTGCAATTTTTAATCCATTCCCGTGATAAAGTTGCAAAACTTCGTCATAGGGATGATAAAAATTACAATACTTACAATTTAATGCAAAATGATTATCCTGCAAATTCCCGTTCAATTTTTACAGCCTAAAACAAAAGAAAAAATTAGTGTCTCGAAACACAAAAAATGCAATTTTATTGCTTTCCCGTTAAGAAAATTGCAAAACTAAGTCCTTAGGGATGATAAAAATTACAATACCTGATTTAATAAAAAATGGTCCTCCTGTAGAGATTCCGTTCAATTTTACAGCCTAAAACAAGAAAATCAGTGTCTCAAAACACAAAAATGCAATTTTATTGCTTTTCCATTAAATTGCAAAACTAAGTCATAGGGATGATAAAAGAATCACAATACTTACAATTTTAATAAAAATGGTGGTCCTGCGAAATTTCCGTTCAATTTTACAGCCCTAAAACAAGAAAAATCAGTGCCTCGAAACACAAAAATGCAATTTTTATTACTTTCCCGTTAGAAAATTGCAAAACTAAGTCATAGGGATGATAAAGAATCACAATACTTACAATTTAATGCAAAAATGGGTGGTCATAAATTCCCGTTCAATTTTTACAGCCCTAAAACAAGAAAAATCAGTGTCTCAAAACACAAAAATGCAATTTTTATTGCTTTCCCGTTAGAAAATTGCAAAACTAAGTCATAGGGATGATAAAGAATCACAATACTTACAATTTAATAAAAAAATGGTGGTCCTGCAAATTCCCGTTCAATTTTTACAGCCCTAAAACAAGAAAAATCAGTGTCTCGAAACACAAAAATGCAATTTTTATTGCTTTCCCGTTAGAAAATTGCAAAACTAAGTCATAGGGATGATAAAGAATTACAATACTTACAATTTAATGCAAAAATGGCCCTCCTGCAAATTCCCGTTCAATTTTTACAGCCCTAAAACAAGAAAAATCAGTGTCTCGAAACACAAAAATGCAATTTTTATTGCTTTCCCGTTAGAAAATTGCAAAACTAAGTCATAGGGATGATAAAGAATTACAATACTTACAATTTAATGCAAAATGGCCCTCCTGCAAAAAATGGAAAAATCAGTGCCTCCTGCAATTTTTATTGCTTTCCCGTTCAATTTCTATAGCCCTAAAACAAGAAAAATGAGTGTCTGGAAACACAAAAATGCAATTTTTATTGCTTTCCCGTGAGAAAATTGCAAAACTAAGTCATAGGGATGATAAAGAATTACAATACTTACAATTTAATGCAAAAATGGCCCTCCTGCAAATTCCCGTTCAATTTTTACAGCCCTAAAACAAGAAAAATCAGTGTCTCAAAACACAAAAATGCAATATTTATTGCTTTCCCGTTAGAAGATTGCAAAACTAAATAATAGGGATGATAAAGAATTACAATACTTACAATTTAATAAAAAAATGGTGGTCCTGCAAATTCCCGTTCAATTCTTACAGCCCTAAAACAAGAAAAATGAGTGTCTGGAAACACAAAAATGCAATTGTTATTGCTTTCCCGTGAGAAAATTGCAAAACTAAGTCATAGGGATGATAAAGAATTACAACACTTACAATTTAATGCAAAAATGGCTTTCCTGCGGGTTCCCGTTCAATTTTGACAGCCCTAAAACAAGAAAAATCTGTGTCTCGAAACACAAAATGCAATTTTTAATGCTTTCCCGTGATAGAATTTCAAATCATAGGGATTAAGGAATTACAATACTTACAATTTAATGCAAAATGGTCCTCCTGCAAATCCCCGTTCAATTTTTACAGCCCTAAAACAAGAAAAATCAGTGTCTCAAAACACAAAATGCAATTTTTGTTGCTTTCCCGTTAGAAAATTGCAAAACTAAGTCATAGGGATGATAAAGAATCACAATACTTACAATTTAATAAAAAAATGGTCCTCCTGCAAAAGACTCTTCTTATCTAAACTTGAAAGAATCATTAAAATCGCACAAATGGTTCCCGAAATTCAGCCAAATTTCTATTATGATAAAATCATACAATTAATAAAAATCAAGTTGTATCATATTTAAATCAATTTAAGGAAAAGAAAGTGAAGCATGGAATTTATAATTAAAGTTAAAACATAGGTATATGCGCACATACGAGTAATGTAGTCGGCAGCAACGCGCGGCCTCTGCAAGATTTGAACGCGAAAACTTGTTTTCGCACCGATAGTGCAGCCAAAAACGATAACAATTCTATGATGTGTACTGAATAATTTCACAATGTGTAAATCCCGAATGCGTACATACAAATGACCATAAATTCCAATTACAAGACCGTTATAATTAAACATAATTAATCATGAAAAGTAATTAAATAATAATAATTCAATGTTAAACCTGCCAATGGAACGATGACAAACTTCAACTGATGTCCCCCGGAGTTTGCAGCAAACACATCGTAGATGTTAAAAGGCTTAAATTAATTTCTTATTAGCAATTTCAATGGATGGCGATCTTCAATCAAAAACAAACACGGCTTGTAATAGGAACGCGTGCGTACTCACCAACGCGGTCAAAACGACTGTTCTAGAGTATTGTCTGTGAACTATACCTGCACATCGTTTAAATCTAAACGGTAGATGGCGACCCGATCACATAACATCACCGCAATCAACATTGCACATTTTCCATTGCTTGAATCAATTTCGTAGTAGGTTCAACTGGAATGTGATATATAAAAGTCGCTGAATTATTCATCTATGCTGCAACAACTGAATATGAAATTGGGGACAAGTGGCAAAATAGGAATTTGTTGGTATGTGCCCTCATTATTCCATATCAAATATTACTTGCACGTTTTTACATTAAAAAACCAATGACATAACCTTCAATCCAAATCCTATAATTTAAATCGAAAATTGAAATTAATATTACGTTTTAAAGGGCTGCTGTAACTTTCGGTGGATTATACGCATTCTACTTATCAAAGAGTAACATCGACAAGAAACGCTACGAGCTTATGCAAGTACGAGAACGAATTAGAAAATCCAACGTCGGCGAATACGAGAAGAGCTATCGTCGTTTTGATTAACCAGAAACAAAAAACACCAAAAACACAAAATGGCGATGCAACTCGACGCCGATAAAATGCAGCTCATCCAGGAGCTGGAGATTGAAATGATGGCCGACTTGTACACCCGACTCACACAGACCTGCTACAAAAAATGCATTGCACCTGCCTACTCTGAGAGTGAACTTGTAAAAGGGGAAGCAGTCTGCCTGGACCGCTGCGTCGCTAAATTTCTCGACATCCACGAGCGGATAGGCAAGAAACTGGGCCAAATGACCGCCCAGGATCAAGAAGCAATGCTTAAGAAATAATTTAGTTATATCACAGCAGTCTATGTATATGTAGTATTGTTAATATTGATTTGTTTAAATATTTGGGGGACCTGACTATATACGACTAAATATTTAATCGAAAATTATAAACTCGTTAATTTTGCACGTGGATTTCATTATTGTAGCATTAATCACAATCATCATCATCATCATATAGGTACAAAGTCTGTTTCTCTAACCGCTTCTTGATACGCACACATTTCGGGCATTCGTTTGTCCTGGAGAAGCAGATTTTATGCAGGACAGCATTGCATTGTTCACAAACCACAGCAGAAGTGTCAAACGGGTATAAAACTTCATCGTTGAAGCAAATCTCGCATATGTGGCCACGTCCACGACACACTTCACAGGTTTCTTTGATGTGTTTGATAAAAATCGATGCCCAGTTCAGTAATTTTGATGGTAATTCACCATTACTGGCCTCATAAAGATCCACAAGACTATAGAGATCTGTTGTTTCAATTAGGTGTGGTGTATCTACACTTTTCCATAATAAATGATCTTTTTGCGCCTCGCGACATACCAGTAAATATTTCCGCATTAAATTTAACTCGATGCGTGTACGTCGTACTAAATCCAGCTCGTGTACGATTGCGAATAGTTTCGGGTTGAGTTTCTCTAAGTTTATGATAGGCCTTGTGAGGGTTACTTTGATTAACTGCAGGGTGGCCTGACAAACTGGTTTCTGTTCAAAGTCCCAGTTGTGGATAATGCGCGCTGGGGTGACTGCTTCACCGCCCCAGTGGCAGCCAGAGCAATAATATAAGCCAGTGTAGTCACAACGACGTGTTTGGGACTCTATCCAAGTATTACCTATTATATATAACAAAATATTTTAATTTTTTGGTTGTATCTGGACGTGGAATCACACAAAACTAACTTTACCTGTGAATAAATACCTAGCAAAGCATAATATTCCTTTAGGTAAGGCTGATACAATTGAAATACATGTTTAAATATTAACTAAAGATGTTTATAAGGAATTTAGGGGACTTACCGATTGGTAAACTGGTTTTACATTCGGCACATTTATATTTTTGGGCGGAGAGGCCGATTTCCGGGCAGATTTTGAACTCGTATTGGCCTTGCTCGGTGGCGGTGACGTGCGCGCATTCGCGGATTATGGAAGACAAGCATTTGTGATGAGAGTTGAAGCCACAATCATCGCACAAGTACCAAGCTTGTACAAAATTCCTAAAGATAAAGTTAAATATAGCTACTTTGCGAACTTTTGTTGAAGAATGTGTTTATTGTGCTTACCAAATGGTACCTGTACAGTGATCACAGTCCTTACTGATTCCTCTCTTAATGATTGATTGTAGAACAAAATGGTGGCCTTTTATTGTTCTTTTGGATATGCCACTTCGATTTCTTGGATGTCTACAACAGCCAACTCTAATTTTATATACAGTTATAGTAAATTTAGATTTAAATCACATACTGTGGGTCATCTTTTGCCTCTCGCCATTCCTGCAGCCGTAATCGGAGCTCAATGAGATGCCGTACTAACCATTTGCGTTCTGGCGATAGATTATCACATTCCAGTACTAGTTCTTTACATTTTGCTACTGCAGTTTCAAGTTCTTCTTCAGTGGCTTCCTATTGAAACACAAATACTTGATTAATTGTTGTATGTTTAGTATATGTAGGTAACTATGGTTTTTATTGCTATGTACCTTGTTTAAAGCTAGATATATTTGTTGATTTTGTAAAGTTTCTGGCAACACGTTGTCTTCAGAGCTGTCGTCGCCAGAGACTCTAGAAATGCAGCAAGATGCGACCGATGAGGGTGAGGAAGCCATGGTGATTGTTTAAACTAGTGTACAATGTTCATTGTTTAGAATAAGAATGTTTATGCGTGTGGGCGTATAGTTTTCAATGCATAGTGCAATTGTCACAGCTGATAAGTTGTCCTAGATAAATTGTTTACATATTGTCAGAAGATGTCGCTAGATACATGAAATCTGTATTAAATTGTATTTTATAATTGTTAATTGGTTATCAATAAAATTAAAATACAATTTGCTCTTATATTCTTCCTGCTATTAATTTTTAGTATCCACCATAAAATTGTCCACTTTTGAAGGGCATTTTAGGTATACCACTAAACATACTCCAAAAATCAGCTGAAGTCAATCAAACAAGTGTTTCAAGTGTTGAGTTGTTAAGTGACTCCATTATCATCACAGTTCATAGTCTACAAATGATTATTATTAATTTTTATTGCATACTCATTCCACTGATCTCCAAGTTTAGTTGAAACCTATCCAAGATGAAGTTCGGTTTGGAGATCCAAGTAATAAACAAAGTTCGCCTGATTAAGTTCTGCAACACCAAGAAGAAAAACGCCATCTCTGTTGATGCATACAATGAAATCGCTGATATCTTAAACAAAGATGCGACTGATGACAACATAATTGGGACGATATTCACCGGCAAAGATGAATACTTCACCAGTGGCAATGATTTATCAATAAAAATGGATGGAGACATGGACATGGAGCAAATTACCTTAGAGTTCAACAGGAAATTCGTCAAGATGATCACCGCCCTGTTAAAATACCCTAAACTAATCGTCTCAGTGGTGAATGGTCCAGCAATAGGAATTGGCTTCACACTGGCAGGCCTCTCAGACATTGTCTATGCATCAAACACAGCCACATTTTCTGCTCCTTTTGTTAAACTAGGACTGTGTATTGAAGGTTGCGGCAGTTATCTGATCCCAAGGATTCTAGGCAAGAGTAAAGCCACAGAAGTATTACTCCTGGGCCATAAAATCACTGCTGATGAAGCAAAAGCATACAATCTGGTGTCAAAAATTGTCCATAAAATTGATATTGACATTACCATTAAAAACCTAATCCAGGAACTTAGTGAGTTGCCTCTGGAGCAACTCATGTACAACAAAAAGTTGATGACTGATAATTTAATTCATAACTTGCTTGAATGTGCTGAGAGGGAGGCGAAAGTCTTATTAGAATGCCAGACCTCTGAGTACTTTCTCACAAATATGATGAACTTTATGTCCCGCCGTTCAAAATTGTAAAGGTTAACATAAATATAGTCTGATACATCCTTAAGTCTTAAGTAATGTCATTTTCCTACACCGCACGCACCCACAAAGAAACCAAAACAGAATACAATAAAACTATGCTTATTAGTGTGTTTATGTAAACACGAAATCGTCCACTTCCCAAGGAAGTTGAAACATGTCTGCTGGTAGCGGGGTACAGTGGGTTGCCTTGTAGTCCTTGAAGTGCTTTCGCACCAAAAACAGCGCCACCTTTGCGCGTACATCCTCGTCCTTCATATCTTCACCGAGACGCGATGGATACACCTTGGGATGTTGGGACATGTACTGCTCGACGTAATTACTCGACGCGTCGTTGTTGTAGCCAACTTTCGCGAGGTACTGATCCTGCGCGCTGGGACGAGCCAACGCGAGGTATTCTTGTACTATGGTTTGTTGATACTGACCGAAGATGATCGGATAGCGATAGAGTAACATCTTCATGAGCAAATTATTACCGCGATTAGTGCTCACATCGCCAGGCCTGTGAATTAATCTTTTAGTTGCATACAAGAGATAAGAAGATACAAACAGCTTACTCTAAACAAATTACTTCATCTTCGGTACGACGTATGATTAGAACCGGGCCGGGATATTTGATTAATTGTTCGGCGTTGTTCAAATTGACGTGTTCTCTGATAGCCAAGCGAACAATCGATTCTGACCATGATGGCATCGTATTAATCGCCAGCGGTAGGATATCATCAAACGACGCGTCTAATATCTGCAAATAAATAATTAAAAAAAAAAACATAAATTTTACAATTAAATAAACTAACAAGTCCTTTAATGTCTGGATAATTCATAGCTGCCCACGTTGACGTGAATCCTCCAATACTCCAACCGAAAACTAAAATATTCTCCACGCGAAAACCAAGTTTTTTGATCGCGAATTGCATAACAGCGTCAATTGCATTTAGTTCTTGTGGTGGATATGGTTTACCGGAACTGCCTGCAAAGCCAGGATGATTCCATGCTAGGACTGAATATCCCATCGAAATCGGCGTGCATGCAATTCCAATTTCGTAAAATCCAGCGTTGCCCTCACAGCAAACAACCAAAGTGCTACCGTTGGAATTTCCAGTGTTACGACGATCGATAAACATCGAATCAATTTGGTTCTCGTCTTTTGTTTCTAGTTTATACCGTTGACCATTATTTACATCAATCAGACGAGATCTTCCTTGGATTAACGTTTGATCTAATGCATAAAGAGTACAAGAAATTAGATAGTAAAAAAAACATCAAAATATTCAATATTTGCTTACATATCAAGTTGTTAAATATTGATAGTGATCCAGGATAAATTAATCGAATTCCAAAGGTGTGTACAGCTAAATATCCCAGGATATGGCAGGGTAGTGAACTGCCAACCTGCAGGACACCGCGGGATGTCTGATTTTTCGTGATATATTGACGAGATCGAACATCGTCCCTTAAAAATTACGATTTTTTTTTTGTTAGAATGAATATCATAGTTATGAAAACAGTGTAGCTTCTTTAAAATCTCAATATTTGTTATTTTCTGTTCCTTGATGTAAAGTTACCTCGCTATAACGTGATAAAGAGGCTACACTGTATGTTTTAAAACTTACTTATCAAGTTCATTGTACTTAAACTCGACTGGCCACGCATAGAATTCGAAATCAAACTGTGCCATCTTCTGTTTGGTGTCTGGTGTAAGATTGTTCTGTGCATCACTCAGGGTTTTTACAAATTTCTGATACATCGGATTAGTCGATCGGCCCAAACTGCGTATGACATAGGAAACAGCCAAAATGCCTCCAATTAATCCAGCGACCTTTGTAAGAGTGATACAACCATCATATTCGAAATATCCGCGTCGGTATAAGAAGCCAACAAGAAGTGGTGAAGTATAAACTCCTAACTTCCACATAAAATATATCTGCAGAAGGAAAACATCAATAATTCATTAAAAAACATGAAAAATTGTTTTTTAAAATGTTTCGTAATGCAAAAAATCAATCAAAATAAATTGTGGGTTTAATTTTTTAACTAGCTGTACTTAATTAATCTTTATTATGCTCCTGAGTAATTAAACAATAATTAATTGGTTACTTACTGATTGCAGTACGCGATCGCCCAGGTTTTCCAAGGCGTTGGGTTCATACACTTTCTAAAAAATGATTTAATAAATTAATAAAATGAATTTAAATTTGAAAAAACAAGCTCACCTCAACCTGGCCATTGCCATGCAATTTAATTAACCTGGGTGCAAACATTGAACTCCAGATAGACTTCATGCTCATCATGATTGTTTCTTCTTTTGTTTGAACTGTTCCAAGCTAACTGCGTTTATTGCACTCGAGAAACGAAGTCAAATTATTTGTTTGTTTGGAAAAGATAACAGCAACAATTTAACACATGATTTCAGGTTGCGCGACGCACTCGATGAATCTGCTTGTGCGCGCACCGTGCTGCTTAGAAATGCTTGGTAATCATGATTTAATTCGTGCCCATCGCGGCGAATTTTTCTTTTCGTCGAGTCGTTGTGGAGGTCACGGTTTTACTCTGTCATCGTGGCCCGCTCAGCTGACATTTCTATCGATTTTCAAGTTGTACCATAGGCAGCCTAAACTTTTTGATGTATATTTGGTTGCATACATTAAAACACAACATTGAAATAAAAATGGTAAATATTTTCGAAAATATGATGAATTACCATAATAAAACTATAAATTTTATGTTTATTACATGTTTTATTTTTTACCCTGAGTCTATTTATCAAGATTTTCTTTTAAGCTTTAAAATTTATGCGTAAAATACAAAGAATTCCGTTTTTCTTTCATAGGTAACACCGGTCCTAACAAAACTTTAGTTTACTAAGAACCTGTTTCATTCTTATCCATTCATAACAAAAAACTCTTTATGATTGTACCTTGCACCCCCACAAACAAAACGAAAAAAACACGTACCTGTTGGGCTGTTAGACATTGTATTTTCGTTCTTGAGGGGCGCATTCCTAAGCAAGTTAATATAAAAGGCGCTCGCAAGGTGCAGACGAAGTTTATTCCGAGGCAGAATGTCCAAGTACGCGATATATTTGTGCACTTTAGTGGTGTTTGCAAGCGGCAAGCAAGTTCCCCGCGGCGATCCATTCCGCGACGGGAATCGCGAGGGACGTTGGTTTGGATATCGCTACACGAGCACCGAGATTGTCCCGCAGATGGTCACGTCCCTAATTCCATCCTCCTGCGTTCAAGTTGAACCCAGTCTCCCGCCATGCCGAAATGTACGAAACCTGGAAGAGTTTCCAAGATTCCTCGGCGGATATGCTAAGTAAGTAACAAAAATCTACACAAAAAAACATCAAATTTATTATTATTATAAAATCTGTGCATGTGAATTTATTAGGGAGGAAATAAATCACGAAGTAATCCCATCGATCCATACCACCCCATTGGGTTGGGGCGAGTATTTCGGTATCTACGCGCCGACCGTGACGGTGACGGCGATGCAGATGCGTACAACAACCGTGCTGGACCCGCGCACCGTGGTCACGTTCTCAGTGAAGGGATGTAAACCCTCACGTCTGCCGATGGACCTCAGCCTCTGCCCGTCGCAGACACCGCCGCTGCTGGACATAAAGCCGACGTCGGTCGTGACGGCCACGGTTGTGCCCACAACCACCATGAGCTCATTCCCGAAACCCACCAACTTGGAGAGCGCCGAAAGCGATGCGGCGCAAGAAGTTCACAACAATCTCGAGGTGCCCGCCGGCCGAATTCAGACCCAACCATTACCACTTTAAATCCACACACATTGTATACTCACCTATCTCTAGATTTTATACAACCGAATATTTTTCTGAAATAAATTTATCTCTTGATTATATCCATCCACGTTGTTCAATTTCTCTTCTCATCTGCACAGAATGTAAAGTAATGAATAATTAAGAAATTAGCCGATGTCTCAACTAGCGCACAAGTCGTGCGCAGAATATTTCAACTCACAATGCACAACTTTTGTTTGTTTTGCGCAAACAAACAAAAAGTTTAACGACAGATTTAAATAAAGTCGCGTTTTGTGTTGATTATCATTTACTTTCTTGCAGATGCGTAAGGTTAGTGCATAAAGTAAGTCGTTTAGCATTGGATAGCACTTGTTATTTACCTCTACTTCCTCTACTTCTTCTCGGGACCTGATCTTGTGATCACTTTTCCCGCAAAGCCTACTGCGCTACTGCGGCGTGTGAATATAAAAATACGAAATTACGGTTTGCGTTTCAGTCCGCACGTCGACACCGCCAGCAAAACATTAATTTTATAATATTAATATTTCGTGTGTGTTTGTTTGCCTATAATAAAAAATTTATCATGCAATTTTCTGTTGTGTTGTTATCGGCAATCACGGCGATAATCCTCGCACATCCAAACATTTACAATCAATGCCAGCCGCAGTTTTTCAACCCGTTGAATTACCTGGATCAGTTACCATCGTTGAAGATGCCCTACGTGAACAACGTACCGATTCCAAACATTCCGCTCGCGCATATAATCAAACCAACGCCCGCCATTACAACGAAGGTGATCAATGTGGTGACCAAGTACGTGGCACGCAACCCAGTATGCATCAAATCGACCGGCAAAAAGAAACCGCCGTGTAAAAAGGATTCCGTCGGGAGTAATACGACCGCAACAAAAAAGTACTCCAATGATCACATCATCACGAAGGAGTACTTTGTCAACAATCGCGTGTCCAAATCCTCACGCGCCCAACTCGAAGAGGAACAATATAAAAAAATCAAAGATGAGATTAATGCGTATAAGAATTTAAAAGACGTAGGCACACGTCCGGAAAATGTTCATATTCATGGCAGTGAAACGCCTAGTTATCATAGAATTGCGAGAGATGTCGCTTTGGGTGGCCATTTGCAATCGGATGTCAATGATGAAGATGAAGAAGTCAACGAAGCGACGCCGGAACTACACGCACGCAAGCTAATCAAGCCGAGCGCGGAAAAAATGAACGATTTATTAATCGAAGATCGGCTGGATCGACTCGAAGACATGCTGCCCCATTACACCCGGATGCGGGTGTATCAGACGTCGACGATCACCGTCACGCGAACGCGCACGGCCCGAATGGCCACCGCCACGCTGATGGTCAAAAATTGCGTGCCGGACGGCATTGATTACTGCAAAAAACGCCAGAAAACCACCACAAACACCACGAATAAGAAGAAGAAAAAGAAGACCAATAAACGCAAATCCAAAGTGGCCGTACCACAATCCCCAACGATACCAAATTACAATCAGTTTTATTATGGTTAAACTGAAAAAAGAGAAGAGAAAAAAGAAATTGATAATACACTAGCACACTTTCGCAAATCTTTAAAAATGAACACAACTGGAGTGCCCGCACAGTTGGAAATCGCGTTAAATGATCTTAATTACTTATCTGTATGAGATAAGTCAAGCGCCGTGCTTGACAGCTCAATGCAGATGCAATTATCCATTGATCTTGGCGCGCAGGCATTTGATAATTACGTCTCTCATCGCTGCTTGAATCTCAGGTCTTTGTTTACAAAATGGCCGCCAATGTACGACTTAATATTAGCTTTAACCTAAAAATTATCCATTAGTGTTAATTATTTATTGTTCTTGTTGGATCTAATTATTAATTGCATTGTTTTTGTGTTTCAGTTTTGTTTTCGTTTTTGTTTAGTGTCGGAATGAACAAAATAGTAAATTTATGTAGTTGTTTGATGTTATTCTTGTATTAATATTTAGTGTAGTAAAAGTAATTAAAAATTAAGTTTAAGAGGATTATATTTCACGATTTGAAATTTATAGAGCACAAATAATGAAATATTTTGTGTTTTTTTGTTGTTTTTTTGTTAATAAATATAAAAATTTAGAGAAAAAAATTATTTTTTGTTTTTAACTTGTATCTTCTTTAAATTCTTTTTTAAATTACATTAGAATCAATTTCCTGTCATTTTAAGCAAGTGAATTATAAGAATTTAAAAATTTTTGATTGAAAATTTTGGTTTTCTTGTTGTTTTTTGTCAATAAATACCAAAATTTAAAATATAAATCTTTTTTGCCTTTTTACTTAAATCTCATTTAAATTCTCTTTTAAATGCCATTTTAACCAATTTCCTGTCATTTTAAACAAGTGAATTATAAGAATTTAAAGATTTTTGATTGAAAATGTTGTTTTTTTTTGTTGTTTTTGTTAATAAATACCAAAATTCAAAACATAAATTACTTTTTCTTTTTTTACTTGAATCTTCTTTAAATTCTCTTTTAAATTACATGAAAATCAATTTCCTGTTGTTATAAGCAAGTGAATTATAAAAGTTTAAAATTTTTTGATTGAAAATTTTATGTTTTCTTGTTGTTTTTGTTAATAAGTACAAAATTATAAATTTCTTTTTCTTTTTTACTTAAATCTCCTTTAAATTATCTTTTAAATGACATTTAAATCAATTTCCTGTCTTTTTAAACAAGTGAGTTATACGACTTTAAACATTTTTTTTATTGAAAAATATGTTTTTTTTGTTAAATATCGCTGTAAATACAAAATTAGCAAGTGTTACGTTGCATATAAAGTAGTTTGCACACGCTTATTAATTCTAATTGACGTGTATCCATAATATGTATTCATATTCATGTGAAAATCCATAATAGAACGTCTTCGCAGGCGCGCCGCTGTTTACCTTCACGGATTACCGTTTTAATGGCGGCGCGTTTATTGAAAAGTAAATGCGCACGATTGCAGGAAATTACCCGAACGTAATACGCGTAAGTAACGTGCACTCGTTCAATCACCACACACCGTCGGAATATAAATATAAATGGTAAATATATCCGCAAAGTAAATTCATTTTTGCGTGCGTTTTACTTAAACATCAAAAATCAGCGCTCTACGTCGAGATTTCAGATTTTCTCTTCGTAATTAAAAACGTCAACGTCAATTTGCAGCTGCATTTATTAGAAACACCTTAATTAAACGTGTGCAAGGTGCTAAAATATTAAATTCTAATTATTTGCGATGTAAAATATGCAATAAAATAGAAATTAATGGAGGTTATGTTTCCTAACCTACAAAATCCAAAACTATTCATAGAAATATTATAAAAAAAATTAATTAAAATCATTTCGAACATGTTGTAAAACAAAACGATGATTAAAACGAACAAAACACGAATTAATTTGAAGCGTTTAAACGAGACAATCAAAAACCAGCAAACAAAGCAGCATAAAACTCATTTACTTTCCACTTATAAATGGAATACATATCATTACAAATGTTTTCGGCGTGTAATTTCGTGATTCAAATTGTATTCGTCATAAAACCAAAGATATCCCATCATAAATCTAATTTTATCACACAAACACGATACTTCCACTTCCGACGCATGCGCATGATGTGCACGTAAAATTAAAATGTCCGCCATTTGCAGTAATCTAACGTAGCGCGTCAAAATGCCGAATTTACAGCCGGCGACGTTCGATGCAAGTGCAAAGTCGACCGCAGACGCAAAAGTTTGCCCTCCGACTTGCAAAGGAGAATTACTGTCAGCACCGGCTTGCGACCGAACATTATTACCTTCAACTGCGGGTAATATTTGCAATACTAATTGATGTATGGACTGTGCGGGCGGTACCTGTGAATTGTAAGTACTTACTTAGACTGCAGGTAGTGCAACAACTTACAACTTACACAAAAGCCAGCGGACGATAAAAGAAATTTAAAAGCGAGCATAATCGCTTTCGGAATGAAGGAAGACATACTTTTCTGGCGACATTTTTGTGTGCGATGTGCACGACGCAGACACTTTTATCGCTACACGGACCCGTTTCGATAAATCAATTTGTCTGCATGCGATACGCGTGCGTGCGGTAACTCAAGAAGTCAAAACCAGCGAAATTTACAATTAACCCAATTCGAAACTAAATATAACAATATCGCATGCATTTGCTACGCACAACGAACAATAACATACAGTAGAGTTAGGAAAACATGATTTTATGTCACAGAAGAAGTAAGTAAGTAAGAAGTATAGTGTACAGTCTCCATAGTGTAGTCAATTGGATTTGATGTTGACGTAGCTGTCGGTAATACAGTGTGATAATACAGTGTGATGGTACTATAGTACTTAGGTTTGAGCTTCATTGCTGGAATGCTAGATGGCGTTAAAGTAGTCAAATAGCCAGATGCAGAGATATTATTGGCTAAACTATTTCTTTATTTTATTTAAAAAATAATTTTTTTTATTAAATAAAAAGTAGCCTATAACCATTCGGGGACCACTAAGAATATGTGTACAAATTTTCATGATGATCGGTTAAGTAGTTTTTGCGTGAATGTGTAACAAACATCAGGACTTTCGCATTTATAATATTAGTAGGGATATGCAACCAAACATACAAAATATATACTGTACATGTTTGTGCAATATTTGTACAGTATTTATTTTTGCTGTATGTTTGGTTGCATAGCTTGTTGTGACTGCGTGTACGCTGTGTGTGCAAATCAATTCGTGATGACAAAAATATTCGCATTTTAAGAGCAGCGCGACTTGAAAGACCAACATTTGCGGTGTATGAGAAATCGGAATAGAACAACAATAGAATTGATTCATTTTGATGCTATTGTGAATTCGTGTTGAAGGTGAAACTAAAAATATAAAAAAAGAGATTAGTCCGAGAGCACAAACGGAGAAAAATCATGTAAAATGAATTTGCTTGCACAACAATAGAGATAGAAACCGAGAAGAAAACGAGAAAAATCATAGAAAGTAGGCAAGCCCCAAATAAATAAATATAAATAAATTATAAACGATGCATTCGTG